AGAATTGCTTGAACCCGGGAGGCAGAGGTTACAGTGAGTCGAGATGGCGCTACTGCACTCCAGCCTGGGTGACAGAGTGATACCCTGTCTCAAAAAAAAAAAAAAAAAGGCCGGGCGTGGTGGCTCAAGCCTGTAATCCCAGCACTTTGGGAGGCTGAGACGGGCGGATCACGAGGACAGGAGATCAAGACCATCCTGGCTAACACGGTGAAACCCCGTCTCTACTAAAAAATACAAAAAACTAGCCGGGCGAGGTGGCGGGCGCCTATAGTCCCAGCTACTCGGGAGGCTGAGGCAGGAGAATGGCGTGAACCCAGGCGGCGGAGCTTGCAGTGAGCCGAGATCGGGCCACTGCACTCCAGCTTGGGCGACAGAGCGAGACTCCGTCTCAAAAAAAAAAAAAAAAAAAAAGGCCAGGCATGGTGGCTCACACCTGTCATGTCCCAGCACTTTGGGAGGCCGAGGCGGGCAGATCACCTGAGATCAGGAGTTCGAGACCAGCCTGACCAACATGGAGAAATCCTGTCTCTACTAAAAATACAAAAAATTAGCTGGGTGTGGTGGCGGGCACCTGTAGTCCCAGCTACTCAGAGGCTGAGGCAGGAGAATGGCGTAAGCCTGGGAGGCAGAGCTTGCAGTGAGCCGAGATTGCGCCACTGCACTCCAGCCTGGGCGACAGAGTGAGACTCTGTCTCAAAAAACAAATAAAAAAAAAAAGGCCGGGCGCGGTGGCTTAAGCCTGTAATCCCAGCACTTTGGGAGGCCGAGACGGGCAGATCACGAGGTCAGGAGATCGAGACCATCCTGGCTAACACGGTGAAACCCCGTCTCTACTAAAAATACAAAAAACTAGCCGGGCGTAGTGGCAGGCGCCTGTAACCCCAGCTACTCAGGAGGCTGAGGCAGGAGAATGGCGTGAACCTGGGAGGCGGAGCTTGCAGTGAGCTGAGATCCGGCCACTGCACTCCACCCTGGGCGACAGAGTAAGACTCCGTCTCAAAAAAAAAAAAAAAATAGAAAAAAAGAAAAAAGGAAAAAAAAAGTTGATGCTTGTGCCACTGGACACACCCGCACACCATCCTCATGCTGATCACAAAGAGGGTGAGGGGCCGGGCACAGTGGCTCATGCCTGTAATCCCAGCACTGTGGGAGGCCGAGGCGGGCAGATCATTTGAGGTCAGGAGTTCGAGACCAGCCTGACCAATATGGTGAAACCCTACTAAAAATACAAAAATTAGCTGGGCGTGGTGGCAGGCGCCTGTAATCCCAGCTACTTGGGAGGCTGAGGCAGAATAGCTTGAACCTGGGAGGTGGAGGCTGCAGTGAGCTGAAATTGTGCCACTGCACTCCAGCCTGGGTGACAGAATGAGACTCTATCTCAAAAAATAGAATGAAACAAAAATTTAAAACCAAAAAAAAGAAGGTGATGGCTGAGTGAGGAGGCCACCGTGGGCCGCACACAGGGCCCAGGAAGGACAGGGCGCAGGGAGTATGAGCGTCCGGTCCACTGCAGTCGCTCCACCATGGAAAGCAGGACCTGAGAGAAGCAAAGCTGCCTGGCTCAAAGCAGTGGCCGCCCTGCTGGCAGTTGTAGTGGCCGGGTAGCACTCGGGCCGGGATCCAGGGGAGTGTAGGTGGCCACCTGGCCGTGTGCCTGAGCCCTGCCCAAGCTGGGCACCTTTCCCTGGCAGTGCCTGGTAAGCTCGGCTGCCCTACTCATGGACTCTTGCCCGTGGCCTGTTCCTTGTAGCAGGGCCGGGCTGTGGGAGGTCCGGACAGGATCTTGAATGGCCCTGTCTGCGGTCCTGGCTGGCCGGAGGTTGACTGCACTGGACAGGTCAGGGGCCTTAAACCAGGGTAGTGAGGAAGCAGGCGAGCCCATGATGCTCCCCAGGCTGCCTTTGGCTCTCGGACAGACAAGCTTCTAAGGCGAAAGGTCTCCTGGGGCTGATTTCCAGGGACTTTGGCTCCTGCAGAGAGGCCTGGAGGCGGGGCTTGGTGTTCCAGGGCCAGAGTCCTCCGGGTGGAAGCTGAGGGGCCTGATTAAATGCCTCCCTTCCTAGGCAGCAGCCCAGACGCGGCACAGAGAGGGCTCGGGAGCTTGCGGCAGCTTCAGGTGAGTTTGCTCCCAAGCACCGCGGCTCATTTATGGGTTTGTTTGGGCTGCAGAACTGTTTGTGGAGCAGCGGGGTTGGAGTGCCCATGGCTGGGGGCCTCTCCTCAGAGCCCTTGATTCACAGAGCCCCTCGAAGCCCGCAGTCCTGCCTGCCCTGAAGAGCCTGGTTCTCCCAGCCGTTTGGGCTGTGGTCCTGTCGTGGGAGGTGACAGTGAGGGCGCACTGCCTGGGGTCCTGACAGGGGTGTTTGACCCTTTGGTGGCCTCCCCTGTGCTGTGGTCCCGGCCCCCAGATGGAGCCCCCCGTCCCCACGGCAGCACTGGGGCGGGGCTGGTGAGGAGCATGTGCATGGCCCCCGCCACTGTCCTCAGCCAGGAGGGTGCCTGGTCCCTGGGGAGTGGCCTCCACCTGTTTCTGGAGAATGCTGTCCTGCCAGTTGTCACTGGGGATGGGCGGTCATAGTCCACGTCCTCCCCCAGGGCGGGGCCCTGGCCTGGTTTCTTGTAGGGACGATGGGAAGCCCTGTCCTCAGCCCTCCCACCTCATGGATGAGCTTCACGTCCTTGGGGCCGTCTCCTCCACAGGGGGCCTTAGCGTCAGTGGGGACACAGGCAGAGGTGCCTGTCTTCGGGTTGTGGGGACCGACTGAGCTTTGTCCCAGTAGTGGCTGGCTCTTGTTTTCTGTCTGGACCAGCAGCCTCTGGTCTGGTGGGTGCAGTTCTAGGGTGCAGTGGGTTTGCCGTGGGGCCAGGCCGGGCCACCAGCTGCCTGGACACAGGGGCCTCCGCTTTCTGTCTGCTGCCCCACACACCCCCAACTCAGGCAGGGGTGACAGTGGGGTATCTTTGTTGGGGTCGCTGTGGTTCCCATGGTGGTGAGATGGCTCTGGTGAAAGACTGATCGAGATGCAGGGCCCGGGAGCAGGTGCTGTGTGAGTGGTACACGCCTGTGTCACCTGCGGGGCAGGGGAGGGCCCAGGGTATACAGCCGTGTACGTCATTAGTTAGCAAGACAGTGAGGAGTGTGTGTGGAGTGGATGCAGCTGTGGGTGCCACCCGCGCAAGGCTGGGGGTTGCTGTGCCAGCCCTGCTCCCATGTGGGCTCCTAGCTCCCCAGGTGGGGATGCTGACCCAGGGAGGTGCCTTTGCCTGCACCCACTGGAGTCTCAGGAACATGCGTCACATCCCCACATCATGCCCACTGAGCCCACCACCTACTGAGAGGCACCCTGAGACCCTGTCCTGCCACAGGTGGGCTGTCAAGGCCAGCACCAGAGACCCCCAGCAGACCTCAGTGGCCGCAGATGGAGTGGGGCGGCAACGGTCACCTCCAGGACTCAGCCCTGTGCTGAGTCGTGGACAGTGTGGTCATACTGGCCCTTCTCATGCGCATCCCCTGGCTGGACACTCCTTGCTGCCCTCACGGGGTATGTGTGTGGCATGCCTCATACAGGACAGGGACTAGCCAGTTGGCCCTGCTCATTAACCACTTGTCCCCACAGGGCAGTGGCAGCCTCACCTCTGCAATTCTCCAAGGCTGGATCTAGGCCACCGCCCCATTTAAAACTAGGGCAGCGGTTCCCAGGGAGGGTGGGGAGCTGCACGGTTGGACTTGTGGGGGGCAGGCATGGGTCCACACAGCCCGGGGCCCTCAGCACCCTGCCCCTCCAGGAAGCCCGGAGGTGGGCGTGGCTGCAGTCTGGCTTTGTGACAGTGCTAAGTCCTGGCCACTCTCGAGGTGCCGCCCTGAGAGTGAGCCCCTGCCGGCACGGCCCCTGCTGGTTCCCATTCGCAAGCACCTAAAACAGCCTGGCCCACAGCAGAGGCCCCGGGGGTGTTTGCTAAACCAGCGGGGGGCACATGCGGCTCACAGGAGTGGCACAGATGCTCCACCAGCAGCAGGCCCTGCAGGAGCAGCAGCGGCCCAGGGCGTGTCCCGGGGGTCAGGGCTCGACATGCTCTGCGGGTCCTCACCGTGTCCCTGGGGGACCAGTCTGGGCACACTCCTTGGTGACAGTGTCTCCCCCTCACCCCCAGTTATTCGGACAGGAACTTGGTGACAGTGCCCACCCCCCCGGTTATTCAGACAGGAACTTGGTGACGGTGCCCCAGCCCACCCCCAGTTATTCGGACAGGAACTTGGTGACAGTGTCTCCCCCCCACCCCCAGTTATTCGGACAGGAACTTGGTGACGGTGCCCACCCCCCCGGTTATTCAGACAGGAACTTGGTGACGGTGACAGTGCCCCCCCAATCGCCCCTCCCACCCAGTTATTCGGACAGGGAGCCAGGAGGGGAACCACGGATTGACCTGACCTGCGTCCAGCCCTCCTCAGGGTCACTGCACTGGGTGATTCACATGTGCCCAGGCCCTGAAGTGGGCTGGACCTGGGAGTGGCAAGCGAGCCTTCCTCCCGAGAGCCTCTGGCTGGCTGCAGCAGGCCCTGTCCCCGCTGTCCTCAGGCGAGTGGCCCTGGACATGATAACCCCCTGCCAAGGTCTGGCCGGAGCCAGCACCCACGGCTGAGATACAATCAGCCCTGGCTGGGCGCTGTCCCTGGAGGTGGCTGCTGGTTCTGCCCTCCCTCCTTCTCACCACTCCTTGCCCCTCTTTCCTGGGGTTCCCTCCCATCGGAGTCTTCCTCCTAAATGCAGTTCTCTCCCTGTAGGGGAACGCCGGCTGGGAGCCTTGGTTTTTTTTTTTTGCCCAGGCTGGAGCGCAGTGGCGCGATCTCGGCTCACTGCAACCTCCGCCTCCCGGGTTCAAGCAATTCTCTGCCTCAGCCTTCCAAGTAGCTGGCATTACAGGCGCGTGCCACCACCCCCAGCTAATTTTTGTATTTTTAGTAGAGATGTGGTTTCACCATCTTGGCCAGGCTGGTCTCGAACTCCTGACCTCATGATCCGCCCCCCCTCAGCCTCCCAAAGTGCTGAGATTACAGGCGGGAGCCCCCACACCCGGCCTGGGAGTCTTCTCCGTAGCTGCTCGTCCTGTACTAGCATTTGTCCATCCATGAGTGGATGGGGACGCAGGGGGACCCAGGACCCACACCTGCAGTCGGGAAGGCTGGCAGGGTGGATTTCCGGAAGAGCATCAGTGCCAGCTTCCCACAGTCACCCCTGTGATGGGACCCTCAGGTTGGCACGTGGCTGGCAGCTGTGTACCGGGAGTCCCAACTGCTTGCAGCCCTTGCTCCTTAGTGGGCCTTGCCAGCCAGGGCAGGGCCCCCGCCACCCACACAGGGCTCTCGACTCCTCTGGCAGCAGGTCAGGGGCGGTTCAGTGATGCCATCTCTGGAGATCCCCTGGCGTGCGCTGGAAAACTCCAGAGAGGCCTTAACAGCGCCGGCTGTTCCGCCTCCGTGACAGGGATGTTTACTCTTCTGGGCAGGCTCCTCTCCTCCGAGCACCCACGAGAGGGCGCTGTGCTGTGCCTGCTCTCCTAGGACAGGCCTCGCTCCTGTCCAGATGGGGCCCGCAGGGTCGGGTGGCTGAGACTGGCTCCAGCTCAGGGTTTTCTGAGTGAGCACAGGGGAGCAGGCGGCCGGCAAGCAGCTCACTTCCTGCCCTGGGTGCAGCTGGACACCATGTCTGCCCTGGGCCTGCTAAAGGCATCAGTGAGGAGCAGGCAGGACCTCGTATGAGCCTGTGTTTCTAGCAGCGCGCGTGACCCCAGGTGCCACGTGCGTGAGTGCGTGGGTGGGTGAGTGCGTGGGTGGGTGAGTGGCGAAGGCGCTGAGGCTGGCCCCGGCGGGCACACAGTCCTCACACACAACAGGGGCAGGGCTCCTGTCAGAGCCAAACCAGCTCAGGGCCCAGTGCAAGCGGTTTCTGTCCCGTGGCACCTCCGCTAGTCACAGCTCCCACCCAAGCCCTGCCCCACTTAGGGTTTGGCTGCAGAAGGGGAGTGTCGGAAATGCCCAGCCCGTCTCCCATGAGGGACTCCTGCGTGGCATGGGCTGGGGAGTGCAGGGGTCGTTTGGGTGGTTCCAGTGTCTGGCGTAGCCACACAAGAGGCCCTGAGTTGATGTGGGCTCCCTGCTGGGGAGCCTGCTCCATGCGTGCTGGGCTCCCAGCATTGCATCCAGTGGCATTCAGGGCCCTGTGGACCTCGCCTCTGTCCTGCGCGTTTAAACGCTGCCCCTTGTGGAGGTCGCCAGCACTACAGGGCCTGTAGTGTGGCGCATCCACGTGACATGAGTGGCCAGGCCCAGTTGTGTCCAGAGACGAAGCCTGGAGAACGGGCCTGGATGTCTCCGTCATGGTTTTACGTTCGTTTCACACGGACGCAGCGATGTCTCAGATACCTCGGATCGTGCAGGGCACGTGGCCAAGGCTTGTTTTGTCTGTTCCTTTTCTCCTGTCTTACGTGGCTACCAGGAGGTCTGCCACAACTCCCGTGGCCCCTGTCCACACTGCGTGGCGCTTTCCAGCCTGGCTGCCAGCTGCCCCTTCGAGCGCAGATGTGAGCACAGGGTGGTCCCTGGGGAGAAGCACCGGCAGGCGACTGAGCCAGGCTGTGCCCAGTCAGACCCCTGCAGACCCCGAGGCTTGAATTTCATGGAACTCTCACCTGTCACGGAGTATTGTTTTTCTTTTGATTTTTTCCCAACCATTTAAAAATTTAAAAGCCATTGTTGACTTGAGGGCTGGACCAGGCTTAGGGCTGGGCTCTGGTCCGCACCCCACACTGGCCCTGTGTGTCCTGTGCCCATTCTGCCTGCGAGGCAGGCCTGAGCCACCACAGGATTGCGGGGTCCTCAGGGTGCAGGGCCCGCGATGCTTCACCCCTCCCACGACCCCAGCACCTTCAGAGAAAACGGACCCTCGAGTCGAGTGCAGTGGTTCAGGCGAACGTTATCACCACACGGGGGACTTGGCGGCTTCTGCCCCAGGCTTCAAAGGAGAGGGGATCCAGAGTCTGTCCCACCCCTCAGCCCCTGCCCTTGAAGCTTCTGTCCCCAAGGCTGTGGGGAAGAACCAGGGAAGGGCTAGCGTGTCTGCTGTGCCATCCCAGGTGCTCGCGCCTCACTGAGCTCAACTCCTGCGGTCTCAGAGCTGCAGGCCCCTCCCAGGTGTCAGAGCTGCAGTTCCCTCCCGGGTGTCAGAGCTGCAGTTCCCTCCCGGGTGTCAGAGCTGCAGTTCCCTTCTGGGTGTCAGAGCTGCAGGTCCCTCCCGGGTGTCAGAGCTGCAGGCCCCTCCCGGGTGTCAGAGCTGCAGGCCCCTCCCGGGTGTCAGAGCTGCAGGCCCCTCCCGGGTGTCAGAGCTACAGGTCCCTCCCGGGTGTCAGAGCTGCAGGCCCCTCCCGGGTGTCAGGACACTGACTGGAAGGGCCCCCCCACATCCGTGAACTCCAAAGGGTATGTCCTTTGGTGCTTTTTTTTTGGCTCTGTCTGCCAGGCTGGAGTGCAGTTGTGGTACTCAAGCCATCCTCCCACGTCAGCCTTCTGAGTAGCTCGGTCTACAGGTGCACACCACTGTGCCCAGAGAGTTTAGTTTTCTGTAAAGACAGGGTCTCACTGTGTTGTCCAGGCTGGTCTGGAACTCTTGGGCTCAGGTGATCCCCCACACATGGCAGCTTTGACACTTGACCATTTCCTCCCAAGCTCTACCCCGACACTGGCTCTGTGTCCCAGAGACTTAATCAGAAGCTGGTAGAAGGGCTGTGAAGTGTGTCGCAGTGGGAACTGCCAGTCAGCCCACAGCTGGCCTGCCTGCCTGCACGCCCACTTTGGCCCCGATCTTGGCAGGGAGAGGGGGGTGTATTGGACTCTGGGGAGAGCAGCTGCCTGCGCTGGCAGGGTCCTCCCGTCTCAGGGTTAACGTTCTCAGCTGTATTTGATTTCTCCTCAGCCAGAGGGGGTAAGATGGCCTTCCCAGAAGCACAGGTGGGCTGTGTGTCAGAGGCCCTGGACAGCCTGTGCCTCTCCCGGGCCTCCCAGCAGGGGTGGCTCTCGCCTCTCTGGAGGGGAGACCCCAGGAACCGGCCCCGCCCTTGGCCACAGCCTCACAGGTTCCTTGTGTTTCTCGGGGTCTGGGGCGGGCACAGGCTCTGTGGGTGCACACGGCACGGTCAGGCTCCCATCCTTCTAGAAGGCTGCAGAGTGGCGTGTGGGCAGCTGTGTGACGTGGCCCCAGATCTCCATCTGGCCTGGCCTGCAGCAGCTCCCTAGGCCCTCTGCTACCTCCCCTGCCTACCTTTGGGTAGACGTCCTCTTGACCTTTTCTTCTGTGATAAAGCAAAAGCGTGTGATCTCTTTTCTCACCAAGGAATAAAACGTCTCTGAATACCACAGATGTGATGCCGGGCTTTTGGGGGCTGGGGGGCATCCTAGGGCCCTGAGGGAGGAGCCCCGTGGGTGCCGACGTCGGGCCCCGGGCCCTGCACCGAGACATCCCCTCAGCTCACCCCAGGCGGCTGGGCATGCTGGGAAGTGCTCCCAGGCTGTGTGTGTGAATCATGCTGTTTCTTCTCTATTTTCTCTCTCTGTCTGTTTATTTTTGTTGTGTGTCACTCTGACCAGCCGGCCGCCCTGTCTCTTCCCTCCATGCTCCGCTTCGCCCGCTGCCGGCCAGAGGTGACCAGGTCCGGCTCTCAGCACGGCCGCCGGCCGGGGGGCCATGGGGAGCTCCGCCTCCTCCCTGGCCGCAGAGACCGAGTCGGACCACAGCTTCCCCCGGGGGCCGCCCTACCCAGGTCCCCCGGCAGCGGCTGGCTGGTGTAGGAGTGGCCCAGGGGGACCCGTCTGGGGAGGTGCCCTGGTCAGCCGGCAGCACCAGCCCCCACGGCCCCGGGCCCGCAGGTAAGAGGTGGGGAGGGGTGGCCCCGGAGGGGTCCCGGGGGCAGAGGGCCTCTTTGTCGGGGTGCCCCCTCCTTGGCAGAGGTGCTTGCAGAGAAGTGGGTCCCTGCTCCTACCAGTTGTAGCAGCTCTTCCCAGGGTACAGAAGCTAAGCAGGTCTGGGACCCCGGCCTCGGCCTGGCTGGTCGTGGGTGGGAACTGGGGGACCCCGGCCTCGGCCTGGCTGGCCGTGGGTGGGAACTGGGGCTTGTGCGCCCAATCCCGGCGGCCCTGTGTTTCTCACAGGCTGTGCTGCTGCACGCAGAGAAGCTGTTCCTGAACCTTCTCTTTGGGCTGGGATCGCTGGCGGCTGCATGCTCTGGGCGTGCTGCCTGCTGCCCACGGTTTCAGAGCTGCCAGCACTCGCTGGGCTCCACCTGCTGCCCCTCCGGGGGTCACAGGCCGCATGGCTTGGTGGCCGAACTCCACGTGCTGGCTTCTCACAACTGTTACCGCGGCCTTGGCTACCCGCTGCGTCCCTTGGGAGCCCCCACTGGGTTCTGGGGTGCCTGGTGTGGAGGCAGCCCAGGCGGTGAGGTCTGGACTAGCTGGACACCACCGATGCTCCAGCCGTCACCCCATCCTGGCCCTCACTGGAGGCAGGGACTCAGGGGCCCGGGGCCTCACGGCCAGTGCTACAGTGGCAGCTCTTGCTCTCTCAGAGGGTCCAGGCCTGGCCTCTGCAGACAACGTGCCTGCATCTCACACTGGAAAGGGCCTGTCAGGCTGCACCCGGCAGCAGCTTCCTGCAGACCCAGCTCCCACGTGGGACGGCATCCTGCTGTCTGCTGGCCCCCAGGTGGGGGGGATGGGTGTGGAGCTGCAGGCAGTGGGCAAGGCCATGACAGGTGGCCAGGCCTGGGGACCAGCCTTCAGGTGGCATCCAAGCTGAGGCCTGAGCTCCGGCCGACAGGGCTGAGGATGCAGGGGATGAGCCAGGGGCCGTGTGGGAGAGCCCTGGATCCCCATCTGAGAGTGACCCCGATGGACAGGGAGGAGCCCCATCTGAGTTACCCCGATGGACAGGGAGATGTGGCAGAGGTGGGGCCGTGTGGGGCCTGGTGCTCCTCCTGCATGTGGTGGCACCGGAGCGCCTCCTAGTTCCTGGTGTTACTGCCCCAGCCGCCTCCCAGTGAGCGTCTCCACGTGCGCCAACAACGGCTTTATTGAGGTAGAACTTACCAGATTCACCTGTTACAAGACTGCAGTTTGGTCACTCTCAGCCGTTTGTAGAGTTGTACAGCCGTCCTTGCAGTCCAGCGTTACAGCATCTCGCAGCCCAGAGAGACCCCCGCATCCCCACACTCCAGCGTTACAGCATCCCGCAACCCAGAGAGTCCTCCAGCCCCACACTCTAGCGTTACAGCATCCCGCAGCCCAGAGAGACCTCCAGCCCCACACTCCAGCGTTACAGCATCCCGCAACAGAGAGACCCCCGCATCCCCACACTCTAGCGTTACAGCATCCTGCAACCCAGAGAGACCACCACATCCCCACACTCCAGCGTTACAGCATCCCGCAACCCAGAGACCCACCCCCACCACTACAGCATCCCGCACCCAGAGACCCCCCCCCCACTCCACGTACAGCATCCCCCAGGAGACCCCGCCCCACATCAGCGTTAAGCATCCCCCCCAGAGAGACCACCACATCCCCACACTCCAGCGTTACAGCATCCCGCAGCCCAGAGAGACCCCCATCCCCACAGTCCAGCGTTACAGCATCCCGCAGCCCAGAGAGACCCCCCCCATCCCCACAGTCCAGCATTACAGCATCCCGCAGCCCAGAGAGACCCCTCCCAGCCCCCCAGTCCAGCGTTACAGCATCCCGCAGCCCAGAGAGACCCCCCCATCCCCACAGTCCAGCATTACAGCATCCCGCAGCCCAGAGAGACCCCCACATCCCCACACTCCAGCGTTACAGCATCCCACAACCCAGAGGGACCCCCCCGCATCCCCACAGTCCAGCATTACAGCATCCCGCAGCCCAGAGAGACCCCCCCCACATCCAGCACAGCATCCCCACCCAGAGACCCCCACCCCACATCCAGCTACAGCATCCCGCAGCCCAGAGAGACCCCCAGCCCCACAGTCCAGCGTCACAGCATCCCGCAGCCCAGAGAGACCCCCAGCCCCACAGTCCAGCGTCACAGCATCCCGCAGCCCAGAGAGACCCCCAGCCCCACAGTCCAGCGTCACAGCATCCCGCAGCCCAGAGGGACCCCCAGCCCCACAGTCCAGCGTCACAGCATCCCACAGCCCAGAGGGACCCCCAGCCCCACAGTCCAGCATTACAGCATCCCGCAGCCCAGAGGGACCCCCAGCCCCGGACGGCCACTGACCGGCTTCCTGTCTGGGTTTGCCTTGTGCAGAAGGTGCGTGGATGTGGGGCCCCGTGTCTGGCCTCTTCACTTGGCACCGTGCCCTCCAGGTTCATGCACGTGCAGCCCGAGGCAGTTTCATTCACTGCTCCGTCGCGGGACGAGCCACATTTTATCTGTTCCTGGACACGGGGACTGCTTCCACGTGGTTTCTGTGGACAATGCTGTGAACATTCTTGATGAGGTTTTGCGTGGACCTGTTTTCACTTACCTTGCGTAGATACCTAGGAGTGGGATTGCTGGGGCGTGTGGTGAACTTCTGTGACGTCCTGAGGAACTGCCAAGCCGTCTTCCACAGCGGCTGCCTCACCTGGTTCCCACCCGCAAGGCCCTTGACAGCTCCTGCTGTTGTCTGTCCTTGTGATTCTGGCCATCCCAGGGGGTGGCAGCTGGATCTGCTTGGCTTTGATCTGCGTTTCCCTGGTGGCCAGCCTTGTGGGGCCTCTCTACCTGTCTCATCCACCTATGCCTGTCTTCTTTTCATTCATTCACTTATTTATTCATTCAGAGACAGGGTCTCACTCTGTCACCCAGGCTGGAGTACAGTGGTGTGATGACAGCTTGCTGCAGCTTCTACTTCCTGGGTTCAAGGGAACCTCCCATCTCAGCCTCCCAAGTAGCTGGAACTACAGGCGTGCATCACCACAGCTGGTTAATTAAAAAAAAAAAAATTTGGCCGGTGGATCACCTGAGGTCAAGTTCAAGACCAGCCTGGCCAACATGGTGAAACCCTATCTCTACTAAAACAAAAATTAGCTGGGCATGGTGGCGGGCACCTATAATCCTAGCTACTAGGGAGGCAGAAGCAGGAGAATCCTTTGAACCCGGGAGGCAGAGGTTGCAGTGAGCCAGGATTGCACCACCGCACTCCAGCGTGGGTAACAGAGTGAGACTCTGTCTCAAAATAAAATAAAATAAAAATACAAACCCTGAGCTTGAGGGTCGAGACTGCAGTGAGCTGTGATCGCACCACCGCAGCCCAGCTTGGGCGACACAGTGAGACGCTGTCTCAAAAAAACTTACAGAAAAATGTAGAAACAATTGTTCCCTTTCATTTCCAGAGGGCAGAGGACTTTCGGCCCCTGCTTTTTGAGCATCGGGCGGAGTTTCAGACCTCAGGAGGGCCTCTCCGGTCTACAGCTCCCAGCGGCCTCAGGCCACGCTCCCAGGATCCCCTGGGACTGGCCCAGGGCTATTGGGGGGTGGCTGCAGTGATTCTGGCTACGGGGAGGGAGGCGGGGCGGCGGGGCAGGCGCGGGGTCTGCCGTGCTGGGCGTGTAGGGCGTGTGTCAGACTTTAGATCTGGCCTGCAGGGTCAGGCCGTGGCGTCTGGTGACACCACATTGCTCTTTCTCTTTCATCCTTGCCTCCTGCTGGGCCCTCCCCTGGGTCAGCATCCCTGGGGCCACTCCTGCCACGGCCCGCTGCCGTGGGGCCTGAGCTCCAGGCAGCTCCTGTCTGCTGCTACAAGCAGGCCCCCAAGGTGCGTGGCGAGGAGACCCCCAGGCTAGAGATGAGCGAGAGCGGTGGGAGAGCAGACTGGGAAGGCAGATGGGGTCCACACACGGAGCCCTCCCCACCACATGTATGCACAGGCGACCCCTGCTCTGCTCTGACAGAGGGCGCTGGGACTGGGGAAGGTCAGCCACAGCAGCCCTGGCATTGACTGAAGAGCTGCCTGCCCGGCTCGCTGCCCTGGTGGCCGCTGAATTCTCCCAACGCCCCAGGAGAGCGGGTGCTGTGGTCCCATGACTGCTCCCCCGTATGGATGAAGGGGTGGTGCACAGGCCGGCGGAGCCTGGGAGAGCCAGGTGCAGTCTGTGTCTCCCCCGCAGCATGTGGCCGGCGCGGGGCTGAGGTCCTGTACAGCTGCCAGGGCCTGACTCAATCAGTAAACCAGTAGTCTACGGGCCAGCGGCTTCAGACACAGAGGAACAAGCGCAGGTGCTGTCCCTCAATCAGTAAGCAACGGGCCAGGCACTGGCGGCTTAGGACAGAGAGGCAACAAGGGTAGACCCCACCTGGAAGGCTGACCAGCGGCTGGGCTGTGGCCAGCCTAGGAGAGTGCAGCCCAGCTCGAGGGAGGCACCACTTCTGCCCCTTAGAGCACTGAGCAGAGCCCCCATGGCATCACCCACCCTGGCACAGCAGGAGGACCTTCCAACCAAGTCTGGCACCCCGGCGTGTCCCGAGAGCTGTCTGGGCACAGGTCGCAGGGCTGCCCGGGCCAGACGGGGCATCTGTTTCTCATTGTGGCCTCAGGGGCTCCGGTGGCTTTGACCAAGGCCCTGGGGGACAGAATGCAGCTTCCTGCTCCTCGCTTTTCCTAAGAAAGAGGCTGCCTCCCAGGACTGGGATGGCACCAGTCACAGACCCGTGGCCTCCATGCTCCGGGGGCTGCTGTCCCGGCTGCTTCGGGGTGGGCTCCGTCTTGCACACAGCGAGCGGCTTCATCACCTCCCTTTCCAATTGGAGCTGAGTGTTGGCAACACCCAGATAACTGGGGCACACAGGTCTTGCGTGTTGGATTTTCTGGACACTTGCCTCAATTTTCCATTCAACTTGGCCTTTGTACAGTAAGGAGCGGCCCATTGTCTCCCCTGAGCCGTTCCCTTCAAAGGTGCCCATCCCACGATAGTGGGGCCTCCTCACTGAGCGTGTGTGGCTGTGACTTTAGGAGGGTTCTGGGTTGAGAATTCCGAAAGGGCTTTGCTTAGGCCTAGCTTTGGGTCTTTGGGCTCCTGACGTAAGCATTTTACTTCCAGGCATTGGTGGTCTGGCCTCAGGAGGTCAAGGCTGCAGTGAGCCGTGCATGAGCCACTGCACCATCCTGGGCAACAGAGTCAGACCCCATCTCTAAAGGTCAAAAAAAATTATTGTAAGGGTTTCAGGTGTCTGAGCCCGTGAACCTGCCCAGGCCCTGCAGAGGTGAGGGTGGCCCTGGAGTGGCTGGGGGGTTGTGGAGACCAGAACCAGTGCTGAAGGGAAGGGAGGGTGGGGGCCCCACCAAGGTCTCCTGCCACTGACACCTGACCCCTGACCCTTGACCCCCTTCCACCTCAGCCCACCGAGAGAGGGCGGCACAGTGCAGACTGCGGGGTTGGTGACACTCCACTCAGAGTCTCCAACCACAGAAGGGCTGTGCCCTGCCTTCGCCCTCCTCACCCATGTTCCAGGGCCATGTTTGAATTTTAGGCCTTGTTCTTGCTTCTTGGAAACCCTCCTGAACTGCAGACCGTCTTCCTGACTCACCTGGGTTTTGCCAGGACGGCTCCAAAAGGTGTCTCCCAGCAGACACACCCCACTGGCGATTTTTTGGTCATGGGGACCTGGGTTCTCTTTCTCCTCTCTGGAGCCTGTGACACTGTCCTTGCTAGTCAGTGACAACCACAGACCCAAAGGGAGGGTGTGTCTCAGGAGGCCCAGCCCACCTCTGCCTGCACCTGCGGTCAGAGGGGCGCAGAGTCTGTGAAGGCATCTCCCGGAGTCAGGGCTGCAAAGGTCGTGGCCACTCTGCAACCCACAGGGGCGGTGGGGCCAGACGTCAGGGAAGGTGCAGGTGCGGCCGGGAGCCCGCCAGCCACAGCTGCATCCATGCCCTTCTCCGAGTGAGTGATGGTGGGGAGAGGCCTGGCTGTCTGCAGGCGGATTGCTTGGGCTTTTCACAGAAGTCCACTGTGAGAGCCTTGGTCTCTGTGCTCCAGCTGGACGCCCTGAGCCTCTCCGGGCACAGTCCACTCCCATCCACTCTGCCAGGGGCAGCTCAGGGCCCTCGCCTTGCGAGGCTGAGCGCAGGGAAGGTAGCATCAGAGTTCACTCGGCTCCACAAAACAATCGTGTTGCTTGCGGAGACTTTTTGTTTTTTTGTTTCTTATGAAGAGGCAAGTTTTCTTTCTTCCTGAACCAAAAGGTTTTAGATGGAGCACAAGATTCATGCCATATTTACAAGAACAATTGATTTTTCTGCCAGGCAGAGCAGCCAGTCTGTCTCAGAGGCTGTGCTATGGAGTGGGGAGGACCCTTGCTCAGATCAGCCCATGCCTTCCCCAGGCCCCTGCCCGTCCACCCACCCTTCTGTCTGAGTACCTGTTCCATGCCCGGGACGACCTGGTCCTGAGCCTGGCCGGGCCCCCCCGCCATCTGCCTTCCACAGGCCTGGTGACAGAGAAAGCAGTGCCCTTGAACAGCAGCCCGGCTTTGGGGTGCTCAGCCCTCTCTGTAGGATCCTGTGTGGCTCAAGGGGTCTGCCAGGCCTCCAATGGGCAACAGGGGCCCTGAGCCGTGCGTGGATCCATTCTAGGCAGAGGCAGCTGCCACCACCGCCTGCCTCGAATGCTCAGCCCTAGGCTCTCGGCCCCGTAGCTCTGCAGCCACAGACGGTGCCTTCCCCAGGCTGAGAGAAGGGTGGGGTCCAGCCGCTCAGGACCTCACAGGGTGGCCCTGATGAGCCCCTTCCCTTGCAGCCACACCCACTCGCCCGGGTCTATGGCCACGGCCGGAGAGTGGTCCTGTGCGCGCTGCACCTTCCTGAACCCGGCCGGCCAGCGCCAGTGCTCCATCTGCGAGGCCCCCCGGCACAAGCCCGACCTCAACCACATCCTGCGGCTCAGCGTGGAGGAGCAGAAATGGCCCTGTGCCCGCTGCACCTTCCGCAACTTCCTGGGCAAGGAGGCCTGCGAGGTGTGCGGCTTCACCCCAGAGCCTGCACCTGGAGCTGCCCTCCTGCCAGTCCTCAACGGAGTCCTCCCCAAGCCACCCGCCATCCTTGGGGAGCCCAAGGGCAACTGCCAGGAGGAAGCAGGTCCAGTGAGGACTGCGGGGCTGGTGGCCACGGAGCCCGCCAGGGGGCAACACAAGGACAAGGACGAGGAGGAGCAGGAGGAACAGGAGGAGGAGGAGGGGGCGGCGGAGCCCAGAGGGGGCTGGGCCTGCCCGCGTTGCACGCTGCACAACACACCCGTGGCCAGCTCCTGCTCCGTCTGTGGGGGCCCACGCAGGCTCTCGCTGCCACGGATCCCTCCTGAAGCCCTGGTGGTCCCGGAAGTGGTGGCCCCGGCCGGCTTCCACGTTGTGCCTGCCGCGCCTCCACCCGGCCTCCCTGCGGAAGGCGCCGAGGCCAACCCCCCAGCCACCAGCCAGGGTCCCGCTGCTGAGCCAGAGCCGCCCAGGGTCCCGCCCTTCAGCCCCTTCTCGTCCACCCTGCAGAACAACCCCGTGCCACGGAGCCGACGCGAGGTTCCGCCCCAGCCGCAGCCGCCGGTGCCTGAGGCTGCCCAGCCGTCGCCCTCTGCCGGCTGCAGGGGGCCCCCCCAGGGCTCGGGCTGGGCTGCGGCCGCCCGCCTAGCAGAGTTGCTGTCTGGCAAGCGGCTGAGTGTGCTGGAGGAAGAGGCCATGGAGGGCGGCTCTAGCCGCGTAGAGGCCAGCAGCTCCGCCTCGGGCAGCGACGTCATCGACCTGGCTGGAGACACCGTGCGTTACACGCCCGCCAGCCCCTCCAGCCCTGACTTCACCACCTGGTCGTGTGCCAAGTGCACACTCAGGAACCCCACGGCGGCCCCCAGGTGCTCAGCCTGTGGCTGCTCCAAACTGCACGGCTTCCAAGAGCATAGCGAGCCCCCCACCCACTGCCCCGACTGCGGGGCGGACAAGCCCGGCCCCTGTGGCAGAGGCTGCGGACGGGTCTCCTCGACCCAGAAGGCCACCCGCGTGCTGCCCGAGCGCCCGGGCCAGTGGGCCTGCCCTGCCTGTACCCTGCTCAACGCACCACGGGCCAAGCACTGCGCTGCCTGCCACACGCCTCAGCTCCTGGTGACCCAGCGGCGGGGGGCCGCGCCCCTGAGGCGCAGGGAGAGCATGCACGTGGAGCAGCGGCGGCAGACAGATGAGGGCGAGGCCAAGGCGCTCTGGGAGAACATCGTGGCCTTCTGCCGGGAGGTGAGGCGCCCCTCCCTCACCCTCTCCCTGCTCCTCAGCCTCCTGCTTCTGCCCTCCCCGTCCTAGGCTTTGGGCTCTGGCCATGGGCTGGGGAGCAGCCCGCAAGGCCTAAGACGTGATGGGGTGGGCAGCACCCTCCACCCCGAGGCTCCAAGCTCCCGACGGCCCTGGGGTCTGGCTTGGCCTCCTGACCTTGGTCCTTGCTCATGACCAAGATGCACGACCTTCACCCACCTCAGCCCTCCTCCTTGGCCAGGAGGGCGCCAGAGCCCCGTCTGATGTTCGGGCCGCAGGGAGGCGAGGGCTTCCCAGGGGCAGCGTGGAGACCCCACTGAAGTCTGAGGTTGGGATGTGAAGTGTGAGGTCGGGATGTGCCCATGCCCCACCCTCGGGGGCAACGTGGAGACCCCACTGAAGTTTGAGGTCGGGATGTGAAGTGCGAGGTCAGGATGTGAAGTGTGAGGTCGGGATGTGAAGTGTGAGGTCGGGATGTGAAGTGTGAGGTGGAGATGTGCCCGTGCCCCACCCTCAGGGGCAGCGTAGAGACCCCACTGAAGTGTGAGGTTGGGATGTGAAGTATGAAGTTGGGATGTGAAGTGCGAGGTCAGGATATGAAGTGTGAGGTTGGGATGTGAAGTGTGAAGTCGGGATGTGAAGCGTGAGGTCAGGATATGAAGTGTGAGGTCGGGATGTGAAGTGTGAAGTCGGGATGTGAAGTGCGAGGTCGGGATGTGAAGTGCGAGGTCGGGATGTGAAGTGCGAGGTCGGGATGTGAAGTGCGAGGTCGGGATGTGAAGTGCGAGGTCGGGATGTGAAGTGTGAGGTCGGGATGTGAAGTGTGAGGTCGGGATGTGCCCGTGCCCCACCCTCAGGGGCAGCATGGAGAACCCGCTGAAGTTTGAGGTCGGGATGTGAAGTGCGAGGTCAGGATGTGAAGTGCGAGGTCGGGATGTGAAGTGCGAGGTCGGGATGTGAAGTGTGAGGTCAGGATGTGAAGTGTGAGGTGGAGATGTGCCCGTGCCCCACCCTCAGGGGCAGCGTGGAGACCCCACTGAAGTGTGAGGTTGGAATGTGAAGTATGAAGTTGGGATGTGAAGTGCAAGGTTGGGATGTGAAGTGTGAGGTTGGGATGTGAAGTGTGAAGTTGGGATGTGAAGTGCAAGGTTGGGATGTGAAGTGTGAAGTCGGGATGTGAAGTGTGAAGTCGGGATTTGAAGTGCGAGGTCGGGATGTGAAGTGTGAGGTCGGGATGTGAAGTGTGAAGTTGGGATGTGAAGTGCGAGGTCGGGATGTGAAGTGTGAGGTCGGGATGTGAAGTGCGAGGTCAGGATCTGAAGTGCGAGGTCGGGATCTGAAGTGCGAGGTCGGGATGTGAAGTGTGAGGTTGGGATGTGAAGTGTGAGGTCAGGATGTGCCCATGCTCCACCCTCAAATCCAGCATGGAGTCACCCACAGTCAACTGGGGAACGGCCTGCATCCTTCCCAGCAGGGTCAGGGCCAGAGCCATGCTGCCACCCCTGTCCCTGCAGCCTCCCACTGGGGGCTGAGCTGTCCCCCTGGGCCCACACGTCCCCTGCTCCTCACCAGGGCCTCTCCACACAGGGCAGGGCGGCCAAGCGCCAGGTCTATGGCTGTCCATACTCCACCCGTCCCTTTGGGGCCCAGGCAGTGCTTTTGGGCGCTCTCCTGGGTGGGGTCTTGTCCCTGCCAGGTGGAGTGAGGCCGCCTTGCCCAGCCTGAGCATGTGGCCGTGGTCTCTGCAGAACAACGTGAGCTTTGTGGATGACAGCTTCCCTCCCGGGCCTGAGTCTGTGGGCTTCCCCGCGGGCGACAGCGTGCAGCAGCGCGTGAGGCAGTGGCTGCGGCCCCAGGAGATCAACTGCTCCGTCTTCAGGGACCACAGGACCACGTGGTCTGTGTTCCACACGCTGCGACCCTCAGACATCCTGCAGGGGCTACTGGGGAACTGCTGGTGAGGTCCTCTCCAAGGCCGGGTTGGGGCTGTGGGCGGGTGTCCAGCCGCGGTCCCCCCGAAGCTGCCCCGAGGTCACCCTGAGGCTCTGCACAGGTTCCTAAGCGCCCTGGCGGTGCTGGCAGAGCGGCCGGACCTGGTGGAGCGGGTGATGGTCACACGCAGCCTGTGTGCAGAGGGTGCCTACCAGGTGCGGCTGTGTAAGGATGGCACGTGGACCACGGTGCTGGTGGACGACATGCTGCCCTGCGATGAGGCCGGCTGCCTCCTCTTCTCACAGGTGGGGCGGCCTCTGACCCCGGCCCCCGTGCCCCACAAACAAGGCTGGCTGCCTCCTCTTCTCACAGGGCGGGTAGTGTGGGGGCAGGCGGGGGTGGCCTCTGACCCCGGCCCTCTGCAGGCACAGCGGAAGCAGCTGTGGGTGGCCCTCATCGAGAAGGCGCTGGCCAAGCTGCATGGCTCCTACTTCGCGCTCCAGGCGGGCCGCGCCATTGAAGGCCTGGCCACGCTCACCGGCGCCCCCTGCGAGAGCCTGGCGCTGCAGGTCAGCTCCACTAACCCCCGCGAGGAGCCCGTTGACACTGACCTCATCTGGGCCAAAATGCTGAGTTCTAAGGAGGCTGGGTAAGAGGGGGGGCACTGCGTGGTCAGCTGCGTTGGGAGGAGAGGCGAGGCGGAGTGGTGGGAGACGTGGGGCTGGCGGCCCCTTGACCCGGTTCTGCATCCACAAGGTGCCCCGGTGTGGGCTGACCCGTGTGGCCAGGCCACAGCCCCCATCACCTCCCCTTCCCTGGGCGGGTCTGGAGCTGGCGTTCTCATGCCAGGAAGGCCACATCCTGGCCCAGGCTGTGGGGCGAGCCCGATGCTGTCACCCCCTCAGGGCAGGCGTGAGGGGCGTGTTAAGTTTGGCCACACCCTGGTCAGCGGGTCTGTGCCTTGACCCCTGGAGACCTGCTGGGAGTGGCCCGGTGCGAGCACCTCAAAGCTCCCAGAGCCCTCCTCAGCTGACCCTGGGCAGTGCCGCTGTCCGCCCGCCTGGGAGCCACAGAGCCCAGAGCCAGCCCCACAAGGCCTCCAGGGGACCCAGGCCTGCCACCCCTAATTCAGGCCCTGTGTGCCTCAGGCACGGTGGAGGGGGCTGGTCCAGACCCTCCTGAACACACTTCACATGCTCCCTACAGGCAGGAGTGGGCCCCGGTCAGTGACGGCCCCGGTCAGGGAGGGCACCAGTCAGCAAGGCCCCCCGGTCAGTGAGGGCCCCTCTCAGCCATGTCCCCAGTTGGTGAGGGCCCCAGTCAGCCATGCCCCTGGTCAGTGAGGGCCCCGATCAGTGAGGCCCCCAGTCGGTGAGGGTCCCGGTAAGTGAAGTCCCCGGTCGGTGAGGGTCCCGGTCGGTGAGGCTCCCAGTCGGTGAGGGCCCCGGTCGGTGAGGGTCCCGGTCGGTGAGGGTCCCGGTCAATGAAGTCCCCGGTCGGTGGGGCCCCGGTCGGTGAGGCCCCAGTCGGTGAGGGTCCCGGGCGGTGAGGGTCCCGGGCGGTGAGGACCCCGGTCGGTGAGGGTCCTGGTCGGTGAGGGCCCCGGTCGGTGAGGGCCCCGGTCAGTGAGGCCCCTGTTCAGTGAGGGCCGCTCTGCCACGCAGGTTCCTCATGGGTGCCTCCTGTGGCGGGGGCAACATGAAGGTGGACGATTCGGCCTACGAGAGCCTGGGCCTGCGCCCCCGCCATGCCTACTCCGTCCTGGATGTTCGAGATGTCCAGGGCACCAGGTAGGGCCGGGCTGGCTGAGGGTGGGCAGGGTGCCGGTGAGCCACGGGCAGTGCTGTTCTGATCCTCACCCCTGTGGTCTGCAGGCTTCTGCGGCTCCGAAACCCATGGGGCCGTTTCTCCTGGAATGGCAGCTGGTCTGACGAGTGGCCACACTGGCCGGGGCACCTGCGTGGCGAGCTCATGCCACACGGCAGCAGTGAGGGCGTCTTCTGGATGGAGTATGGCGACTTTGTCAGGTATCAGCGCCACGGGGCAGTGTGCGCTGCCGCCGCCCTCCAGGGCCAGGTCCTTCTCTGTAGAACAAGCCTGACCCGCCTGCTGACCTGGGGTGGGGACGGCTGGTCTGTGGCCCAACGCAAATGGGAGCTGGGGCTACAGCTCCAGGGTGCCGACCTCAGAATCCAGGTCCACCCAGGTCAGCAGAGCCCAGAGCCCTGAAGAGCCACCCCTGGACGGCTTCCAGTGTAGGCCTCAGGGATGGGCCCCCAGGGGCCGGGCTGCAAGAGGACGGTGACAGAGCAGCTGGCACCTGCTGGGGTCACCGGCCTGTGGTTGCGCCAGGAGCGGAGCCACGGCGGTGTCGGCTGCGGTGGGCTCAGGGCCCCATCTTCCCGCTGCCCCCAGGTACTTCGACTCTGTGGACATCTGTAAGGTGCACTCGGATTGGCAGGAGGCACGGGTGCAGGGCTGCTTTCCCAGCTCGGCCAGTGCGCCCATGGGGGTGACAGCGCTCACGGTGCTGGAGCGGGCCTCGCTGGAGTTCGCTCTCTTCCAGGAGGGCAGCAGGTGTGTGCTGTGGGGCCGCACTGGGCTGGGCTGGGCTGGCGGCCACGGCCACGCGTGACCCCAGCCCGCGGTGTCTGACGCAGGCGCTCGGACGCAGTGGACAGCCACCTGCTGGACCTGTGCATCCTGGTGTTCCGGGCCACGTTCGGCAGCGGTGGCCACCTCAGCCTGGGCCGCCTCCTGGCCCACAGTAAGCGCGCGGTCAAGAAGTTTGTCAGCTGCGACGTCATGCTGGAGCCTGGCGAGTACGCTGTGGTGTGCTGTGCCTTCAACCACTGGGGGCCGCCCCCCCCGGGCGCCCCTGCCCCCCAGGGTACGTGCCCCCTACCCCAGGCTCATGCCCCAGGCCCGCAGGGAGGGCTGTGGCTCACACGCCCCTCCTTGTAGCCTCCAGCCCCTCGGCAGGGGTCCCAAGAGCCTCCCCAGAGCCGCCGGGCCACGTGCTGGCTGTGTACAGCTCCAGGCTGGTCATGGTGGAGCCTGTGGAAGCTCAGCCCACCACGCTGGCCGACGCCATCATCCTGCTCACCGAGAGCCGGGGAGAGCGGCACGAGGTGGGTGGGGGGTCCTAGGGACAGGTGGCGTGGGGCAGGGGGAGTCTGCCCCAGCCCCTGCCCTGCCCCACAACTGCTGTGCCTGTGCCCAGGGCCGTGAGGGCATGACCTGCTACTACCTGACACACGGCTGGGCAGGGCTCATTGTGGTGGTGGAGAATCGGCACCCCAAGGCCTACCTGCACGTGCAGTGTGACTGCACCGACAGCTTCAATGTGGTGTCCACGCGCGGCAGCCTGCGCACCCAGGATAGCGTGCCACCCCTGCACAGGTGCGCCCCCGCCCCGCCCCTACACCTGCCCCACGCCTGCATGGTGCACCCCCACCCCCACCCCACTGCACCCACACCCATCCCATACCCCCACCCCCACCCCACTGCACCCACACCCAACCCATACCCCCACCCCTGCTCGGGGGTGCCCATACCCCTGCCCCCACCCCTGTACGGGTGTTTGTCACCCCACTCCTGCCCCTGCCCTTGCACGGGTGGGTGCAGTCCTGTCCCCATCCCCCCCTGCCCTCCCCTGGTCCTCACCGGTCACCGGTCCCCTCCCCTAGGCAGGTCCTGGTGATCCTATCCCAGCTGGAGGGCAACGCGGGCTTCTCCATCACCCACCGCCTGGCACATCGCAAGGCAGCCCAGGCCTTTCTCAGTGACTGGACAGCCTCCAAGGGGACCCACAGCCCCCCACTCACGCCAGAGGTCGCTGGTCTGCATGGGCCCCGGCCGTTGTGACCACGATGCCCGGGGCAGGGGCTGTGTGCAGACGGACCCCCACCCCCTACACGCACTTTATGAGGGAGACCCCGACAGAGGACGCTTGAACCAGAATCTCAGGACCCTGCCCAGGGAGCTGCCAGCCCAGTGTGCAGCTTCCCATGGGCCTCCCGCCCCCTCCCTCCCCTCCCTGAGCACCCACAGCCCGCCTGGCCAGGCCTCCCGGCCACCACGCAGAATACCTCGAACCAGACGGGCTGTGAGCCAGCCCCACTCACCTGCCAGCCCCAACACCCGACGGGGGGCTGAGGCCAGTCTGCCCCTCCCTGTGGGCTCAGAGTCTCCTGTGGGGGAGGCAGCCAAGAGCTCTGTCCACAAAACCAAATCTGGGTGTCAGAGGCCAAGACCCCAGGGTGGGATCAGGGACCACTCCTCGGGGCATAATATCAGTTTTCCCCCAGAGCCCGGGTCCCTGTTCGCCACGGGGCAGGCGGGGTCCCTGGAGCCCTGGTGTGGAGCGGAAAGTCCCAGGGCGGTCCCTGTCTTAGAAGGAGGGGCCCTTGGCCAGCCACCCCCCAGCGACACTATGCAATTGCGCCCGCCAGGATCGAAGCCATGACCGGGTGCAGGCGGGCGCCAGGCCCGCTGTGGGTGGGCACCAGTTCTCAGCACCGCTCACTGCTGCCGGGCAGGCCAGGACCAGCAGGCTCCTCAGCCAACCCTGTCCCTCAGCTCGGCCCTGCCACAGAGAGGGACCCCAGCCCATCGTGGACGTTGGCAGGGCTCAGCCGCTCCCACCTCCCCACAGAAGCCCAGGAGCGTGTGGACGTCTGAGTCCAGCTTCCTGCGTCCCCACCCGGCCCTCCTGGCCCCTCACCCCCAGGCAGCGAGCCAGCCCCACCCCCACGCCCCCTCGTACCCTGGCAGGGGATTCCGGGGCTGTTACACCTGGAGAAACATTCCCACTCCCCTTTGGCCTCCCTGTACTCCGAGCTGTGAATATTTTTAACCCTGTAAATACGGCCAGCTCTTGTGACACAGAGACTATTTTATCAACCGTCAGCACCGTTCCTTTACGATAGGATTCTCCACAGTGGCTTCTGACTCAGGCTCCAATGGACCAAATAAAAGCGTTTTGTTTTGTAATCACGCCTCCTCCTCCGGCTGTTGCTCTGTCCAGGGCCCTGTGGAAGGGCAGAGAGGTTGCAGGTCCGAGGGATAGGCCCTGCCCAGGCATCCCGGGCAGGTGGACAGATGGGGGCCCCTGGAGATGGCCGTGGTGGGGTGACTCACAAGCTTGTAAGGGGCAGCCAGGAAGGACGGAGTGACTGGGCGGGGGCAGGGGCCGCAGCCCCAGGGCCAGGAAGGACTGGGCAGACAGGACAGCAGCACATGCAGCTTCTCCCAGCGAGGCATCCGCACTGGGGGCCCTTTCTGAACCCATCAGTCACCCGGCAGGAAAAGATGGAGTGAGGGGCTTGTGGGGAGAAAAGTTTCCTGTCCCCTCCCAGTCTCGTCCCAGGATGGCCTCTGCCCCCACGCAGGTGCCGCTGATCAAAGTGCCCAGTCGGAGGCTCTGCTGTCTCCCTGGACGGAGTTGGGGGCTGGGGTGCGGCCGGTGCAGGGTAAGAGGCTGTCACGGGCAGCGTATCGAATGTGAAAGCAATTAAAGCCACCAGCAGTGTTGGCTCCAGGCGGGCCTGGGGCGGCGGGGAGCTGCCAGAACGCATCTCGCCTCGGTGCCAGCGGACGCCTGCCCTGCTGTCCGCGCCTGCGTGGCCACACCGCACTCCTCCTGGGGGTGGGGGCCAGGCTCGCACCCACTCTCTTCTGACACAGAGCGGGCTCTGTCCAGCCCTGGGGTATCTGGGACCCCCGCTCCTCCCGAGAGCTCCTCTGCCCCTGGCCCCACTCCCACCGCCACCCACCTCTCTGGTTTCTGCCGCCCCAGCCCTGTGGTGACCCAGGACAGAGGCCCATGAGAAGGACCCTCGTGGGCAGGAGTCTCCATAGCAGGCGAGGGGTCCGTGCCCACCCTCTTAGCTGCCCGGAGTCCCCACTGGCCCAGCCAGCAGCCTCCTCTCCGCTTGAAACCCCCGGGGGGCAGCTCCAACAGGGAGGTGGTGAGGGAAAGGGGGGGCATCTGCAGAGGACTTGGGCTCCCACAGCCCAGACCCTGCCAGGTGTTGGGCCGGGGCCACTGTGGGGACCTGGAGGAGGTGGCTGGCAGCAGGTAAGGGGAACAGGTGCGAGCGTCCTGCAGGCAGCAGGGAGGACTGGCTGGGCAGAACACACAGCCCTGGTGCAGGGCAGACCCCGGGGGCAGCTGTCGGGGCTGCCTCCTCCTTACTGACACGGCCCGGCCCCTGCTCAGCCCTCCCCTCCCTTCTCTGTGCAGGCCTCTCCCCTCCCCGCATTTCCTCCTGGGTCTCACCCCCACCAACAGCACCATCTCCCTGGTGTGTCTGAACTATGCCAGCCCTGTGCCCCCACGGTGCCCTCTCCTGGCCCCTCTTGTTGGCGCTGCTAGCCAAGTGGCCTTCCCGGGGCAGGCAGTGGCGAGTTCTCACTTACGAGGCATCCCTGTCAGAAGCACTTAGTGTACAAATTAGCCGTGGCCTCTTCGCCTCCTTCCGCAGCTCTGGGCTCCAGGCTGACTGGGCTGCGGCTCCAGGCCCTCTCCTGCCTGCCCGGGGCGCACGGCTGCCCAGTGAGGACCCCTGGCTGCCCGCCCATGTCCTAGCCAGAGTGCCTGCTCTCCACTGGCCGGCCAGGGCTCCCCCAGGACCCCGACCCAGACCTGGCTGGGGGTGGCCACGGCGGGCTGGGGGTGCTCAGTGAGGTTTGTGGGGGTGGGAGGCCAAGGCCCAGGACCTGGATCTACCCCAAGAGTGGCCAGCCCTGGTGCTGAGGGCTACAGGGGGGCTGGACATGGGGCCCCACCACCCCACCTGCCAGTTGGAGGCCCCGCCACCCCGCCTGCCAGCCCGCCTGCCACTCAGGCGGGGAAAATCATCTGTGACAGGCCCAGGAAGGCCGGCCCCGGGGGCCGCAGAGAGACGCACACAGCTCCTCTTCCTAACATATGGCTGCTGTCGGCCCCGGGCGCTGCTGGTCAGTGCCAGGCTCAGGAGCCGGTGGGGGCTCGAGCAGCCTGAGCCTCTCGTCCCACCCGCCTGGTCGGCTGCCCCCTCTGTCAGTCTACATCCCAGCCTCCTGGAACGGGGGCTCACTCTCACTACAGCAGCTTGGCCCTCCAAGGAGTGTCCCATACCCTCATCTGTCCCAGAGGCTCAGGACACACAGAGGGTCAGCCCCACACCCGGCCCAGGGTGGCCAGTGACCTGGCATGTCCATGAAAGAGTGCAGTGCATGGAGAAGGGCCCAGCTGGGGTCTTCCAGAGCCGAGCGGCGGGTGGGAAGGGGGCTCTCTGGAGTGGAGTCTGGGACGGTCGGGGCTGCTAGGGAGGACTCTGCCTGGTAGAGCTGCATGCAGAGCGTTGGAGCCGGAAGACTCCTGGAGCCAGGGACCCATTCAGGCACCTCCTAACAGGATCCCTCAGGTGGATGGACCCCAGAGCTCCGCAGGCACTTTGTGTGCCCCCCACCCTTGGGCTGTTGTCCTGGGCGCTCTGGCCCACTCGGGTGCCCAGCCCCCTCCGTTCTCCCCCCACACCACCACTGTGTACCCGCCCGTCAAGGCCACCAGCCTCAGGCTGGTGCCCAGGGCCCTCATGTGTGGCCATGACCCCTTTGGCCAAGGCCGGGCTGCCCCTCTCAACCAGGGATCCTTGAGTGGGCTGGAAGGAGGAAGCCCTCAGGAGGCCTGTGCTCTGTAGACCTGGGGTTCTTGAAGTGCTCAGGTGGCCACAGGCCCTGGGGTCCGTTATTGAACAGACATCAGCTGTGACCAGGCGCCTTGCAAGGTACTGATCCCACATGGGGGCTCCAACTTGCTGCCGCAGGATACGCCAGTCTCAAGACCTACGTGGGGCCTCCAGCCTGGCTCCAGCTCTGCCACTGCCCTCACTGCGCGGGTGCAGGCGCCCCAGCCCCTGCACCTGTCCCGACACTGGCTGTGTGTGGACGCTGAGGGGATGAGACAGGCCTGCCCCCGGGCACTGGCCATGCCGAGCACTGCCTCCACTGCCTTCCCTGAGCCCAGCTCTCCATCCTGCCCGTGAGCCCCGGGCACACAGTCCCAGTGTTAATGGAGGTGACAGGCGGGCAGCCGTGGGCAGACCGGGCAGAAGAGGTTAATGGCCAAAATGAGCTTCTGGCTAGAGGCAGAAGGAGGGGCCATGGGGTCCCCATCCCGCCCTGCACTGGGACGGGCTAAGGAGACATCAGGGCACCCACTAGGACTACAGCAGAAGTGCCCGAAGACTGAGCACCCCACCGCCCATTCTGCAGATGGGGGCCGTGGCCCAGGAAATTGGTGGGGTGGGGGCACAGGTGCCAAAACAGAGTCCCAGTCACTGCCTCAGGAAGCAGAGGCCACCTCTCCATACCCAAAGTCAGCCCATTGTGCAAGGGCTGGGTCCCAGCAAGTGGGTCATAGTCACAGTGAAGAAGCTGATGTGCCCAGGGGGCCCTGTGTTTGGGGGCTGCTGGCACTGACGACCCGGCCTCCCCTGGCTGTTCGTGATGGCAACAGTCATCTGGGCACACGATGTACTGGCCTCACATGCCCCTCACCCCCCACCCCGCGTACGGCCGAATCTCAGGACCCCCACCAGCAAGTGCAGGGCTCCTCATCCTCGCTGCCAGAGCCCTTCCGGGAGGCCAGAAACACGTCCAAGTTGTGCCCCTGGGCTCCTCTGGGGGCTGCCCCTCTTCTCTTCTCATGCAAACTTCTGCAAAGGCAATCGGTGGTGAGGGGTGGGGAGCTCCTTCACAGCCTTGTTCCGCCTCTGGGGTTCCTTGGCCCCCTGAGCTTCACTGGCTTTATTTCCTGCATGCTGAGATCTAGATGCCCCAAGACCAGGGCTCCCTGGTCCCTATTTTCCTTTCCCCAGACGATGACCAGAGCCTCCGGCCAGTTGGTCTCCTGTGCTGTCAGCTGTGGCCTCTTCCAGACCTTCAGAGGGGTCAGTTTCGGGCTGGCCGGTGAGGGACTACCGGTGTCAGGGTGACCTTGGACCCTAGTCTCCAGGGGCAGTGCTCGGCTGAACATGTCCAGAGTAGGGTCTATGTATGGAAGCAGCCGGCCTCCTGGCCCCCGCTCTCCACGGGGCTGCTGGCGTGACGGCAGTCCAAGCTGTCTCCCGGCCTGGAGCTGCCTGCACGGTCAGCTGGTCAGCTGGGCCAGGCCAGGCGGGCAGAGAGAAGGCTGGCATGCTCTGCCATCCACAGCACCCCTCCCAGTCCCCTGCCCCACCCCAGGGACTTCCCTCAGACGGGCGTGGGTGGCTGTGTCAGGAAGGTGGCATGGAGGCAGGAGGGAGACAGAGCCCCATGCCCACCCCAGAACCAGGGACTGCTTTTCATGGACCCTGGGTGGGCTCCACCAGGGAGCTCTGCCAGCAGCCAGGTCAGGACCACAGGGAGATGCTGCTGGGCTCTCTTCTCAGCCCCATTCGAGGGGTGACACCCAGAAGTCCCGTGGGGTCCTCCCTTCTTCCCCAAGGCACCCCTGAACCCGACCTGATCTGGGGACAGCCCCGGAGCCCGCAGCTGAGCCTGCAGGAAGCCCCAGGTCCTGGGGAGCCATGTGGGCCGGGCTCCCTGTGCTGCCTCAGAGCCAACGGGGAGTAGCACACGCCTCTCTGGCTGGAGACCCCCAGACGGCCGCCCATCACATGTGTCGGGTTTAGGACGTCTCTCCTGAGTGAAGGCAGGGGCTCTGCCCCAGCCATGCCTGTGTCCGCGTCTGGGAGGGAGCAGGCCGGTCAGGTGAATCTCCCCTAGGACCCAGCTGAGCAGTGGGGCTCCAAGCCTTTACGTTCTGGCAGCTCAGGGAGCTGCTTGGAACTTGGTGCAGCCGGGGAGGTGGGGCTGGGAGCAGCCCTGGCCAGGAGGACATTGGGGAAAGGGCTTCATGGTGTGGCTGGGGGTCCAGGCCCCTCCCCGGCCCTGCTTCTCACCTCCACCGCCCCAGGTCCTCTCAGGAGGGGACTCCCGTGGGGAGAGGGTCTTTCAAACAGCAGGGAAGTGCGTGGCCTGGTGGGGCAGCCCTGAGGCACCTCCCAGCGGAGCCGGGAGTGAGGGTTGGAGGGGTCCGCATCCAGGAAGGGGGAGGGTGCCTGGAGACCAGCCCCAGGTGGAGGCCATCAGCGGGCAGGGCGGGGTGCGAGGGGCCGGTCCAGGCAGCCTCCTGTTTGGAGGAAGAGAGAACGGAGGGCAGGGCTCGCCCCAGGAGGGCAAGGAAAGGAGCCCGGCTCCGCTGGCTCAGTCCGCGGTCCCCCTGTCCTGGGGCTCAGCCCCCCTGAGCCCTGCCTTGGGTGGGCCTGCGGCTGTCAGGGGCCAGAGCCCTGACGGATGAGCGCTGACGGCCCCTCTCCCGCGCCCCGTGCCGCTGACACCCGTCACGCCGCGGCGGGGACCCGGGAGACCTGGCGGCCTCTGCGCACCCCCGCGGCAGCCTGCGGGCGACGGGGGCGGGAGGTGCCGGGCGCCCCTGACTCGGCCGCATACCTGCGCTGCAGTCCGCTCTCCGGGCACTGCCTCCCGGGTTCCCGGCCGCTCCACCGCGCACCCAGAGAGCTGAGCCGGTCCCGGCGCACAAGGCCGGTGAGTGCGCACGAGGGGGCGGCGGGGGGCGCGCGGGAGGAGGGGGCGCGGGGCTCGGGCCGGGGGCTGCTCCTTCCCTCCCGCCGGGAGCGCAGTCGGAGGTCGCAGCGCCCCCCGGAGCCCGGAGCCCAGGCGCACGCGCGCCCGCCTCTGCCGCCAACTTCGGGAGGTGCGAGCGGCGTCGGGGGGACGCGGGCGGCGGCGGAGGCTGCGGGAGTCGCTGCCGCTCGAGGGACCGTGGGCTCGGGGGTCCGGCGCCCGGCGCCGGGCCTCAGTTTCCTCCGCGGGAGCCGCATCCCACCCTCAGAACCCCAGCGCGTCCGCGTGGTCCGAGTCGGGGCCGGCGCGGGGCGGGGAGGGGCGGGAAGTTTGCGCCCCACGCGCGGCCTCACAGACTTGGCGGCTCCGCTCCCGGCCGGGCGCAGGTAGGAGCGGCGGGAGCCGCGGGGGCGGCAAGTTGGGGCGTCGCGGGGCCGACTGGACGCGGGGCGCGGGGGCGGCGGGTGGCCAGGCGTGGGGGGGGCGCGAGGGGCGGCCGGGTCCCCCCCACTCTCCTCTAGGCGTCCAGGAGCAGCGCGAGGGGAGGGAGGGCCGCCCTCAGGTGCCAGGCGGGGAGGGCAGGGGCCGGGTCCGGGGTCTGGGGCAGGAGCCTGACCTTGCGCTCTCCGTACCCGCCTGTGTGGGGAGCCCCGCGTTCCCAGGGGGTAGCGGGATCTGCGGATGGCCGGTCAGGATCCCCGGCTGCTGGGTGCCCCCTCTTGCCCTGGGGGGGTATCTGTGCCCTCCATGCCACTGGTTCTCGCCCAGACAGGGAAAGGTGAGTGGGGCTGGGTGTCGGGGCCTGGCACAGGGCTGCTGGCTGCCCGGGGAGCAATTGCCGGGTCCGCCTGGGACGAGCGTGTGAGTGCGTGTGCCTTTGTGTGTGCGTGTGGCTGCTGTCCGGGGGTGTCCTCGGCTCTGTGTACACACACCAGGTGGGTGCCAGGCATCCTCCGGGTCCCCATGGGGTCAGCAGCTGCTGAGACAGCCCCTTGGACAAGCCCCTGACCCAGGAGCCCCCAGTCCCCGCTGGGAGGTGGGATGGGTTGTGGCATCAGTCGGCACAGCTGTGTGGCTCCCAGGGCTGGGTGATCGATGGCCCGGCACAGCCGCCTCTGTCGCCGGAGCGCCCACACCCATTTGTCATCCACATGGGGTGGGGGGGCGGTGGGCAGGGAGAAGGGGCCGCCTCTGCACCCACCACGCGGTCCAGGCCGGGTCTGCAGTCCCTCAGGGAGCCCCAGGCCCTCTCCTCGCCCAGCCCCTGCCTCCTGACCCCCACCCTGTCTCAGCCACAAACCAGCTGGTCAGCCTCTGCCTGCTCCCGCAGCCCGTGACCCCCTGCAGGGCCCCAAGCCTTTGGACGAGTGGACCTCTCCAGCCCTGTTGATCGTCCCCCCAACGGTACCAACACAGTGTTTTGCGGGCAGCAGACAGCACTGCCCCAGCCCTACCCTGCTCAACCTACCGGCCATGCATGACCATGGGTGTGACTCCCAGCCATGTCTGCGTGTGTCCTGGGGAGTCGGTGTGTAGGGCCTGTGTGAATTCGTGAGTGCTGTGTTGGAGTGGTTTGGAAAGCCCCTGACACCTGGGTGTGCAGTGAGTGTGTTACCACAGACAAGCAGCCATGTCAGTCGTGATGGGGTGTGATGTGTGTGCAGCCAGGGCCCCGCACTTGGTGGCAGGCTCTGTTCTGAGCTCAGGAGGTGGCTTCTCTGGGTGCTGGGTGAGGGCTCCGTGTGAGCCTGTAGGCTGTGCACCCCACACAGGCGCGTGCTGGGGCGGTGGACAGCCCAGGTGGTGGCCCAGATGGAGTGTGGCGTGCATACCAGCGCCTTGCGGGGCGTGGGGAGGAGCGGGTCTTGGCTGAGTGTGGCCGCTGCAGGCTCGGCCACTGACCTGCCTGAAGCCACCCAGATGGAGCTGGGCTGAGCAGGTGGCTGAGCCGTGGGGCCATGCTGGGACGTCCACTCCCCACAGCCTGGCCTGGCCCCACATGAGACCGACCCCCTCAGAGACTCCCAGTGCCCACCTGACGCCCTGCTGGAGCAGGCTGTGTGCGCGCGTGCAGACACACACACGCACGCACACATGCACACACGCACACACATGCACGCATGCACACACGCACACACGCACACGCATACACATGCACACATATGCGCACATGCACACGCACACAGGCATGCACACGCGCGCACACGCACACACATGCACACACGCACGCACATGTGTGCACATGCACGCACACATGTGCACACGCAGCATCATCCCACACAGGCCCTTCTGTTGGTGTCTCGTCTCAGTGCCTTTTCCTCGGCTTTGAACAGGGGCAGGCAGATCGGCAGGGGCCAGCGTTGCTGGAGGGAATGAGACCAGGAGGCTGACGTCTACCCGGAGTGAGCCCTGGTCACGCTGATTCTTTTAGCCACTCACATGCTGTGGGGAGATGGGTGTGGGCTGAATTATCCTAGAAATTGGCCAGCCTCAGAGGTGGGATTTGTGTAGGGTCAACCGATAAAATAAAGGATGCCTAGTTAAAATCGAATTTCCGATAAGCAATGAACACCTTTTTGGTGTGCCTTTCCAATATTGCCCAGGCGTCACTTAACACTCAGAAATGACGTGCTGCTGATCGGAGTGAGATGCAGCTTGGGGGCCTGGACTTTTGTTTTTTTTTTTGGTGCCCTGCACTTTGCTGCCACCCTGGAAGTGTGTGTGGGGAGGAGCCGAAGGATGGGGCTGGGGGTGGTGCAGGGCGGAGGGGGGACAGGGCACCCAGGCTCCTGTCCCTGGAGCCGGGGGAGCCCTGGATGGAGAACAGTGGGGAGTTAGTCAGAGGCAGGCTTGGCACTGACTGTGGCCCCATCTACAGGTGGCCATGGTGCCCAGCCCTGCCCCATAGCAGTCTGCCATGTCACGGGAGGCAGGCTCATGCCGCGTAGGCACAGGGGCGAGGGCACGGTCTCGGAAGCCCAAGAAGCCACACTACATCCCGCGGCCCTGGGGCAAACCCTACAACTACAAATGCTTCCAGTGCCCCTTCACCTGCCTGGAGAAGTCGCACCTCTACAACCACATGAAGTACAGCCTCTGCAAGGACTCCCTGTCGCTGCTGCTGGACTCCCCGGACTGGGCATGCCGCCGCGGCTCCGCCACACCCAGGCCCCGTGCACCCACCCCAGACCGTCCCGAGGAGCCCGACCCCGGCAGGCAACCCCAGGGAGCGCAGCCCTTGGATGCTGTCCCCACGCCTGACCTCGTGGTCGCTGATGTCCGCTCCCTGCACCGTGGCGGAGGCCCCAAGCCCAGGGCCGAGGGGTCCCCAGGGCCACCACTCCCTGTGGCTAGGGCCACCCGGAAGGGTCCCGGCCCCAGTGGGCTCCTGCCTGAGTCGTGGAAGCTGGGGATGGGAGGGGGCCCAAGGGGCGTGGCTGCAGGGGATGTGGCCTCAGCGGGCCCTGAGGGCAGCGTCCCCTGCTATCCCCCGCCTGCCCCAGGGGAGTTCCCTGAGGCCCAGAGCCTCCACCTGTCTCTGCTGGGCGTCAACTACCCGCTCAGCCCAGGCCTCTGCTCCTTCTTGGGGCCCTCACTGGCCGCTGCGGCCCACGTGCCCTTCCTGGCCTCAGCCAGCCCCCTGCTGCCTCCGGCTGCGGCCTTCCCAGCTGCGCAGCCCCCTCAGCGCCCCACCCTGGGCCCCCGCCTGTACTACCCACTGCTTCTGGAGCACACTCTGGGGTTGCCAGCAGGCAAAGCTGCCCTTGCCAAGGCCCCTGTCTCCCCCAAGAGCACCCCTGGGACTCTAGTTCCTGGTCTGCTGAAGGTGCCAGTTCCAGGGCTGGGGCCATGGCCCCGAGTCACCCCCAGGGACCCAGGGCAGGAGGGGGAGCTGGAGCGGGCAGCCCAGAGTGACCCCAGGAAGAGGCTGTCCCTGGGAAGCAGGCTGGAGCTCCCGAAGGCACCCCCCAGCCTGACGAGGTTCTGTTCCCGGAGCAGGTGGGCGTCTTGGGCTCCCGGTTCCTGGGGTGGATGGAGGGGCTGGGCGGCTGGGCATGGAGGCTGGGTGGCTGGGCATGGCGGCTGGGTGGCTGGGCATGGAGGCTGGGCATGGCGGCTGGGCGGCTGGGCATGGCGGCTGGGCATGGCGGCTGGGTGGCTGGGCATGGAGGCTGGGCATGGCGGCTGGGTGGCTGGGCATGGAGGCTGGGCATGGTGGCTGGGTGGCTGGGCATGGAGGCTGGGTGGCTGGGCCTGGCGGCTAGGCATGGTAGCTGGGGTCTGTCCTGAGCTCAGTCACTGGGAAAGTGTGCTCCAGGCCACAGAGGGGAACTGAGACCCGAGAACCAGCGTGGGGGTTCTCGGGGTCTCCAGGAGAGCCCAGGCTCTAGGCTGGGGCCGCAGGGCAGAGGCCATGAGGGGAGAGGGGCTGGGGCCGGAGGCGCCGTGGGAGCAGTGTGGCCTCCTGACCGGCTCCCACCCCACAGCCTGCCCACCAGCCCCTCTGTGACGCTGTGGCCTGAGGACAGGGAGCCAGGCGGCCCTGAAACCCCCGGCCCCGAGGGCCCCCTCCCACCGCAGCCACGGGGCCCAGTGCCAGGAAGCCCAGAGCATGTGGGTGAAGACCTGACCCGGGCCCTCGGTGACTACGCCAGGGTGGAACGGCGCCTGGGGCAGCTGGGGCCTGCGGGGGGCCTGGCCCCAAGACCCCTGCGGGAGCAGTTGGGCAAGATCCGCCTGGAGCTGCTCACCATCCACCGGGCACTGGAGCGGGCCGCGAGGCCACCCGACGCACCCCTCGACCTGTCTGTGAAACGTGCGCCTGCCAAGGGGCCCCAGGCTCTTGGAGAGGCGTGGGGGCAGCCCGAGCTGAGTCCCATGTTGACCAGGGGTACCCCCGAGCCACCCAGCATGCTGGGCCCTGCAGTGCCCCAACCCTTCTCCGGCCACACCACAAAGTGTGAGGCCGACTCCAGTGTCCCACCCCCGGGGCTCCCCCTCCCGGCCTCAGATGACCCTGTCATTCCTGGCAGTGGCTGGGGCACCTGTGTTACCACAGGGAGTTCCCAGACCCCTGAGGCTGTCTGTGGTCTGCAGAGCCCCCGGGGCGCCGAGGTCTGACCAGCAGTGCCTGAGGTCCGACCGTCTCTGCCCACAGTGTGCCAGCCCCTCTCCTGCAGCCCCGACCCCTCACCTGCCCCAGCCCCATGGCCAAGGCCTGGGACCTGCCCCACCCCCGCATGCATGTGGATAGACCCCCACGGGCCGTGGCCAACGCTTTTCCCTGGGGCCACACAGGGACATGGGAGGTCACAGTTATTTATTGATCACAATTGTGGACATTAAAACGGAAAATTGTGTTCACACACACCATCTGGGCCTCCTTCCTTTGGGGTCCTAGTGTAGCCGACTGGACACCCCCTTAAGGAAGTGTCCTGGCCTGGGAGTCCTGGGTGGGCAGTAGTCCTCCCGGGCCTCTGTCGCCCTCTACTGTGGGCTGGGCTTTCCCTGCGGGGCTGGGGTCTGGGGGTGGGCGGGATGTCAGTGTCAGGAGCTGAGCAAGGAAAGGCATGTGATCTGGGCTGCTTGGGGTGATCTGGCCTATGTCGGGGGTGGGCATGGACCCCTGAGCATCCTCTGGCCTCTGAATTCAGCAAGGCAGCGCTAATGTCAGCTCTCCAGCGGTTAAACGGTGGCCCCGAGGCTGTGTGGCTAGAGGCTGCTCACCCAGCATGGGCTCTGCTGGCCCCTGCCAGCCCCTGCAGCCGAGATAGGTATCGGCCTTCACGGCTCACTGCCTCCCTCCCGGCATGGCCTGGCTTGGCCCTCCCACGGGCAGGGGATGGGCAGGCAGGGAGGGGTGCCCGGGACCCCCACAGCAAATCACTTCTCTCCTGGGGGAGCTGGCTAAACCCTCCACGCCCACCCTGGAATGGGCCCTGGAGCCCACGCTGACCCCCCAGGAGGAGAAGCAGTTCCTGCTTGCACCTAGTTCCCTGAGCTGGGCTGGGCCAGCCGGGCTGCAGCCAGTCCAAGCAGGCTGGTAGCGGGCCCCATTAACTACTGAGGAGATAGCATCAGCCCCGACCCTGCCTCAGGGCAGCCAGAGCTGGGGTGTCGCCTTGCCAGGGAGATAGCATCGGCACCCACCGCCTTGGGGCAGCCAGAGCTGGGGTGCTGCCTGGCCAGGCGCGGAGTGCTGTGGGGACAGGTCCCAGCTGGGCCCCTCTACCCAGAGGCTTCTTGGAGGCGCTGCAGGGGGCCCTAGGCAGCCAGGAGGTGTTAAGTCCCGACTCTGAGGGAGACTCCCTATCCTCAGCCCCGCACCCCACATGTCCACCATACCCCATATGTCCACCGCACCCCCCATGTCCACCATACCCCATATGTCCACCGCACCCCCCATGTCCACCGCACCCCCCATGTCCACTGCACCCCCACATGTCCACTGCACCCCAGTTTATCACCCCCACTGGGCAAACAGGTGAGCATGGCCTTGCTGGGGGCAACAGCACCCGTCTCCCAGGTGTGGAGACGCGCACGACCTTCTTCGCTGTCAGGACAGGCCTCGTGGAGGGTGCCTCAGCCAGCAGGTCACCCACCCTGGTCCAGACCCAAGGACCCTGCTTGGAGGTGGTGGCCTGGGGCTGCCTTGCCACTCGGAGTAATGAACTTGCTGGTTGTGGGGGGACCGTGGGGGACCCCCTGAAGGGGGGTGGGCTGCATGGCATCCGGCCGTGCAGGGGACGTGGGAATAGTGTCCAGGCAGAGGGCACAGCCTGCAACGAGGTGCAGAGGCAGGAACGCTGCAGCATGGGGAGTCCTCAGGAGACTTGATTTTTCTTTCATAGAAGCTTCCGGGCCGAGGCCTGAGACTGCGCTCTCTCTCCTCCACCCGGTCCAGCTGCGTCCCTGCCAGTGGCTCCTCCCACTTCCTCTGTTCTAGTTTCCAACAACAGAGGCTGCAGCCACCCAGCCCCGAAGCAGGGCCCAGCGAGACTGGCCCCAGGTAAGAGACCCTTCCCCGGGCCTCTTGGTGGGGCAGGTGGAGGCCCTCGGGACAGGCTGCCTCGCCCCAAGGGGTCAGAAGTCTCCCTCACCGAGGGGCTCAGGTAGAAGGGCTATGTGTGGGTGACCCCCAGGTAGAAAGGGGTTCCGTAGGCAGATGGATTTGAGAAATGCTGCTTATCTGTCTGATGCCCGTGAGCGCAGCTGGGGCTCAGGGGAAAACCCACAGCGAGCTCCATGGGTCATGTGTCTCCCAGACTCGAGTTCCAGGCACCTAGACACTAGGTGGCCACTGGGCTTGGGGGTCAGGCAGACCCTCGGGACCTGGAGGACCCAGCCTCATAGGAGGGCACTGGAGGAGTGACTGCCATTCCCACACACAGTGGGGCTTTATTCTCTGTCTTGCAGCCCCAAACGTGATCCAGCCGCAGAGAAGCTGAGACGGTGATTACGACTGACTGGACTCCGGCCTCCGGCTGTCTGCACCTCACGCTGGACCTGCCTAGAGACTCCACTGGCTCCCGGCAGCCCCGGCTGCTTGGGCGGATCCGGGTGCCCGCAGGGGCTGCAGGAGGGCCCCGGGGCCTGCACTGCTCCCGCGATGGCCTGCTCTTCCTCACGGCCGGAGCTGCACCCTGTGTCCACGTGCTGGATCTGGAGGGACGCCCCGTCTGCCTCCTGCCCTGCTGCACTCCGGGGACCGGGGCCTTCGTTCCAGAGGATGTGGCTGTGACAGCGTCAGGGCTTGTGGTGGTCAGCGATCCCATCCACGGGGCTGTCCATGCCCTCCAGCACACAGCCCAGGACCCCGGAGGCCGCTGGGTGACCGTGGGCACCTTCCTGTCTCCCCGAGGGCTGGCTGTGGATGCCCTCAGCCGCCTCCTGGTGACAGACTACTTGCCCGGGGCTGTGCACAGCTTCACGTTGAGCCCTGCTTGGGAGCCCCTGGCCCCAGCCTCCATGCTGGGTCTGGAGGGCCCCTGCTGGGTGGGCCCGGGGCCTGATGGGGGCCTTGCTGTGAGTGAGGAGTTTGGGGATGTGAGGCTGTTTGGCAGTGCCCACCAGCCCCTGGGCTCCCTGGGGGGCTGGACGGGGCACACTTTCGGCTGCCCAGCAGGCATCTGCTCCAACTCAGAGGGCAACATTATTGTAGCAGACGAGCAGAGGCGCCAAGTGACCCTGTTTCCCCGGGCTGGGCCACCCATCTGCCTGGTGTCGGAGGGGCTTGGGCAGCCCTTGGGAGTGGCCTGTGCACCCCAGGGCCAGCTCCTGGTGGCTGATGCCAAGGACAACTCCATCAAGGTGTACCAGGGCCTCAAGGAGCTGGCCTGACCTGAGGCTGGGTTGGAGCAGGCCTCCTGTGCCTGAGGCCAGCTCCAAGGCCCTTGGATCACCGTGGGAGGAGTCCTCGGGGTAGGTGGAGCCTCCAGACTATGGGCATTGCCTGCCTGATGCCAGCACCCCCTGGGCTGGGCCCTGGGCTGGGCTCGAGTTCTCCTGCTGGTGAGGCTCCGGATCTCAGGGGCAGCCCAGAGTCAGTGCCTGCCAGGCCTGCAGCCTCCCCTGCCGGGGCCGCTCTCTGCTGTCCCCATTCAGTGCCCTGGGCCCTGCATTCATGCCCCCCACGCCCACTCAGACCCTATGCCTGGACTTTGGGGCTGGCAGCTGAAGCCCTGAGATCCTGGGCCAGCTGCTGGCACACAGCTAGGCAGGCTCTCCTGCCAGGTGCCCACGCCCAGGCCTCCCAATCAGAGGCAGACAGGCAGGGAGGGTGTGGCTGGGCTGGGCTGGGTGGGGCGGCCTGGGGCAGGGGTGTAGACCCGAAGTGTCCCCAACCTCAGAGCGACCTAGAGTCCTGAGTCTCCAGTAGCTTCTCTGGGCCTGGCAGAGGTAAGGGGAAGGTAACCCTGGAGTGTCTGGAGGCCAATGGCTGGCTGAACCCCAGATGCCTTTTCTTCCACGTCCCCATGAATGAAAGCTGTCTGGGCCTTCATTCTGCAAATAGGGACAAACAGCTCTGTGCTTATGGTGCAGCTGTGCTGGGAGGGCCTGGGGGAGCCTTCCTACAAGGAGAGATTCCTGCTGCTTTAGAAAACTGAGAAAAAACAGGGGTCTAACCCTCTCCTCCCATTTTACAAGTGGGGCAATGAGGCATGAAAGGAGAGGCGTCTGGGTTACCCCGTGGGTCTGGGTCCAGGGAAGGGCCTGTATGGGGGAGGGAGCTGGGAGGGGATGGTGTCTGGCCCTACCCCTGTGGGGTGGGGAGGTGGGGCTCCCCTGTATCACAGGACACCACCCATGAAAGGTCCCTCATATGTCTGGGTCCTGTGGGTGGGGGATTAACTGGGCGATATAGTTGGGTGCTCAATAAACATAGTTGCTGCTGAGGTCTGGGCTGGGGTCTTGTTCCCGGGATCGGGAGGCGCTGGACGCCTGTGTGTTCTCTCCTGACGATCGCTGGCGGCAGCCTCTGGGCTGGTCCTACCAGGGTTCAAACTTCCCGGCACCACTGGCCTTGGGGATCTGGGGGCGGCCCCTCTGCAGACAGCAGGGTGAGGGGGGCGGGACCGGGCTGGGGCCGGGGCCCTCCTGGAATCCCGCAGGGCCTGAGGACCTGTTCACCTGGCGAGGCTGGGAGCAAGGCGGGGTCCGGGTTCCACGAAGGCCAGGTCCAGTCGGTTTCTCAGGCGAGGAAACCGAGCTGACGGAGGGCTGGCAGCCCAGAGGCTGGCTCGGGAGGTCTGGGCCTGGGGGCTGGGCGGGCACGCTGCGCCGCGGAACGCTCGGGCCGGGCGGGCAGGCGGGCAGCCCGGGCGCCTTTGGGGGCCGGACCGTCGCGCGGCAACGCGCGGAGCCGGCGGAAGTGGGGCTCGGGTCCCGCGGCTGGGCTGGAGGCACCGAACGCCGTCGTCTGCCCGGGCCCGCCCAACCGGGCTCCCAACCCCATCCGGACCCTGCCGCCCGAGCGCGCGGCCCCGGGAGCACCCGGTGAGCAGGGGGGTGGGCGGCGCGCGGCGGGATCTCGGGCAGCGCCGCTGCGTCTCCGGGCCCGGGCTGGGGGCCCCGCACTCCCGCCCGCGGCGCCGCTGGTTCTTCCTCCGGGAAGTGGGGCCGCCCCTGGGCCCGCGCCCTCCGACCCGCGCCCACCTGGGCCCCTGTGGACTCTGTGCAAGGGCGGTCGGTGGCCCGGGCCTGGCTGTGGGCCCTTCGCAGTTGTCCCGGGTTGCAGGAAAGGGCAAAAAACGGAATCAGAGGCTCTTCCCAAATGAGAGGGGAAAGCCTGCTTGAGGAAGGGCAAGGTTTTTTTTGTTTTTTGATTTTTTTTTTTTTTTTTGAGACGGGGTCTCACCATGTTGCCCAGGCTGAACTCGTGTTTATTTTTCATTATTTACGTATTTATTTTGAGAGGGAGTCTCGCCCTGTCACCCAGGCTGCAGTGCAATGGCATGATCTCGGCTCACTGCAACCTCCGCCTCCCGGGTTCAAGCGATTCTCCTGCCTCAGCCTCCCGAGTAGCTGAGACTACAGGCGCCCGCCACCACGCCCGGCTAGTTTTTTTGTATTTTTTAGTAGAGACAGGGTTTCACCGTGTTAGCCAGGATGGTCTCGATCTCCTGACCTCGTGATCCGCCCGTCTCGGCCTCCCAAAGTGCTGGGATTACAGGCTTGAGCCACCGCGCCCGGCCAATTTTTGTGTTTTTAGTGGAGACGGGGTTTCACCCCCAGTCTAGGCTGGTCTTGAGCTCCTGACCTCAAGTGATCCGCCCACCTCGGCCTCCCAAAGTGCTGGGATTACAGGCGTGAGCCACCGCGCCCGGTTCGTGTTTATTTTTCAAACAAGGCGCTGGGAAACGCAAATTCTCCGGAGCTCTTGTGGAGCGGTGGCAGGGAGGGGCGGCTCAGCCAGAGATGGCCCTGGCCCGTCCTCACTGGCAGGGGTCCCACCCAGCCCTCATTCACGGGACAAGAGGGAAGTCTTACTGCTTTATGTGGTCGACCTCCCTATCTGCCTGGTCTGGGAATGGCCTCACAAGAGCGCTCGGGCTCGTTCTTAGCAGAGGAAGCTCTTGTGGCTAGCCTGGCGCGTGTGTGTGTGTGTGTGTGTGTGTGATTTTTCCCCTCAGTCTTTAAAGATGCTCACGTTGCCGGTGTTTCTGCCGCTTTCTCCCGTCCCGCACCTCCTCTGCTATCGATCGCTTCTCTTTCATCTTCCTCTGGCTGTGTGATCGCAGCAGCCTCTAGTGCAGGCTTCTTTGTGCCGCCGACCGTCCCGGAGGCTGAGGTGGGAGTGTGACGGGCGTTTGCCCCACGGCACGTTGAGTTCTGTCTCACTACCCGACAGATAAGAACAGCTTCTGCCCTCCCATCTCCTTCAGTAGACACAAGGCGCTGCCTTTTTTTTTTTTTTTTTTTTTTTTAGGTAAACTTTGTAGATGAAGCACAAGGAATACACACAAAGAAAGCCCACAGATCCTGAGCACACAGCTGGGTGAATTTACCCAAAGTGAGCCCACTGCAGAACCAGCTCCCCCCAGAACGTCTGTTTACTGTTAGACCAATTGTGTTTCTTTTCCGACAATCTCTGTGGGCGGTTTTCCTTAGTCCCTGTGAAAGCTCTTCCCCAGCAGGGCGTGATGAGTCCCTGGGCTGAGCTGGGTGGTCCGCCTATGGTGGTCACACAGCCAGATGCACTGGGCCCCTCACAGGCAGAATTGCTCTGGCCCTGTCACGGTGTCCTTGGTGCCCCACCTCAGCTGGCCTCCAGGCGTCCACCCGCCGCCTGCCCTCTCTGGCCACTGAGGAAATGGGCATTTGTGGAGTTCTACGCCCGACCCAGAAGGGCTCTTTCCAGTTAGAACCCATGGCCTTGAGTGGTGGGACCCTCCAGCCCCGGTGCGGGCTGCCTGCATGGGAGGAGAGCAGCTGCACCAGGGACTTCTTAAGCCCCAGGCATTTCTGTGTGAGGCCTCTTCCAGAGCCCCTCCAAGCTTCGGGGGAGGACTTCCAGGTCACACCACCCCGAGGTGTGCGTCCCACTGTGTTCCCTCCTCCCTAAGGGCGTGGCGGGCTCTGGAACCTGCAGGCGTCCCGCTCTGTTCCCTTGTCCCTAAGGGTGTGGTGGGCACTGGGACCTCCAGACCCAGGCTCAGGCCAAGCTATGTCCTTCCCTCGAGTGTGGGCTCCATCCTGGGGGGTATCTGCTCAGGGTGGCTGCTCCACTCTTTGTGCAGGCGAGATGGGGCTTTCTGTGTCTGAGGAAGGCGAGCGGCCCAGCCAGCCGGCCAGCAGTGCTCCCACCGCTAGGGGGTCCTCCTGCCCTGTGGGACCCTGCCGGGGAGGGCAGCAGTGGAGGAGGAGGAAGCCCCAGCTGGCTGTGTGGCTCGGCAGGGACCTGTGAGAAAGGGGGAGGAGAGGCCCAGGGCCTGGGAACTGCAGGGGCTTGGGTGGCTTCCTACTCAGAGGCCACCTTGGAAGGCTGGCGTCCCTCAGCCTGAGAGTGCAGGACGCGGTTCCTCCACTTCTCCAGTACCTGTGAGCCTCTCTCTCCCCGTTTCTAGGCACCCACAAGGTTGGAGAAATACATTCTGGAGAGAAATATGCCCTGGGGTGGCTGTGGGGATGTCCGGGAGAGGCAGGCACTGCCCGGGTGCCACCGTGGGCGGGGGTCAGAGTGGAGGCCGAAGCCCCGTGTGCGCTGAGCCTGCTCCCTGAGCAATGAGGCAGGTCCTTCCTGCCCCCAGGGAGGGGCTTGTGAGAGGCAGGGACCTGGGGGGTCGCCCACCGTGTGCACGAGGGTAGTTTCGGCAACCCAGCAGCACTTCATTTTAAATTTTCATCTTTATTCTTGCTTAATATGTGAATCATGGTTTGTCACGGTTTCAATTGGCGTGACCTTGCTAATGAGATTGTATAGCTCTCCATGTGCTACACCTTTAAGAACATCTCTCTGATCAGGTTTCCTTTTTTTTTTTTTTTTTTTTTTTGAGGCGGAGTCTCGCTCTGTCGCCCAGGCTGGAGTGCAGTGGCACGATCTCGGCTCACTGCAAGCTCCGCCTCCCGGGTTCCCGCCATTCTCCTGCCTCAGCCTCCCGAGTAGCTGGGACTACAGGCGCCGCCACCACGCCCGGCTAATTTTTTTGTATTTTTAGTGGAGACGGGGTTTCATTGTGTTAGCCAGGATGGTCTCGATCTCCTGACCTCGTGATCCGCCCGTCTCGGCCTCCCAAAGTGCTGGGATTACAGGCTTGAGCCACCGCGCCCGGCCTGATCAGGTTTCTTAAAAACAAAAATAAGAAGCCTGGAGTTCGGTTCGGCCCCACACCCCGTCAGGTGGTGCTGAGGAGACTGTGCCCTGGGCCGGCACGTCTGGAAATAGTAGGGCAGGCCTGGTGGCTGCATGTGCGTGGCTGCCTCGTGCGGGTTGGGGTGAGGGCCTGGGGTGGAGGTGGGGACAGCGCTCCGGCTGCCCCTTGGAGCAGCATGGCCCATGTGAGGTGGCAGCCAAGGGGCCCTATGGCCTCCACCACCGAACTCGAAGCTGAGGTGCCCCGACCTGTGGCCCTGTGGCTGCACCTGTCAGCCCGTCTGTGCCACATCCCGCAGCCCACGGTGGGGGGCAGCAGCAGCTCTGAGCCGAGCCTCTCATCTTCTCTTCCAGCCTCCCAGCATGGTGCTCAAGGCCTTCTTCCCCACGTGCTGCGTCTCGGTGGACAGCGGCCTGCTGGTGGGAAGGTGGGTTCCGGAGCACAGCAGCGCCGTGGTCCTGGCGGTCCTGCACTTTCCCTTCATCCCCATCCAGGTCAAGCAGCTCCTGGCTCAGGTGCGGCAGGCCAGCCAGGTGGGCGTGGCCGTGCTGGGTACCTGGTGCCACTGCCGGCAGGAGCCCGAGGAGAGCCTGGGCCGCTTCCTGGAGGGCCTGGGTGCCGTCTTCCCCCATGAGCCCTGGCTGCAGCTGTGCCGGGAGAGAGGCGGCACGTTCTGGAGCTGCGAGGTCACCCACCGGCAAGCGCCCGCTGCCCCCAGTGCCCCTGGTGAGGACCAGGTCATGCTCATCTTCTATGACCAGCGCCAGGTGCTGCTGTCACAGCTACACCCGCCCACCGTCCTGCCCGACCGCCAGGCTGGAGCCACCCCTGCCAGCACGGGGGGCCTGGCTGTGGTCTTTGACACAGTGGCACGCAGTGAGGTCCTCTTCCGCAGCGACCGCTTCGATGAGGGCCCCGTGCGGCTGAGCCACTGGCAGTCGGAGGGCGTGGAGGCCAGCATCCTCGTGGAGCTGGCCAGGCGAGCCTCGGGACCCGTCTGTCTGCTGCTGGCCAGCCTGCTGTCACTGGTCTCAGCCATTGGTGCCTGCCGGTAGGTGTCCCGGGACAGGGAGGTGGCAAAGAGGGGCGCCCCGTGAGTGCTGGCCTGTCCCTCTGTCTGTAGTGGGCACAGAGGCCCAGATGGGCTCTTCCTGGGCCCAGGCCCCCTCCCCACTTCCTGCAGCCGGGCTTTGGCCCCATCCTGCCCTCCCAACCCTCGCCTCTCAGAGGGTGTCCCTCACCCCTGGGGTAGAGCCAGGTCTCCGGGCAGCCTCAGGGATTGCCAGGGGCCCTCCCAGTAGGTATAGAGGGTGAACCTCAGTGGCTCAGGTCCCTGAAAGAGAAATCACATGGTGAGCACAGATGCGACTGCTGCCACCGGGGGGCACTCCTGAGGGCGCACGGGCCCGCTGGCCTGAGCCCAGCCCGTGCCCCCAGCAGGCCTCTGGGCACTGCAGTGCTCATGGGCTGTGGGGGTGTCATCCACTTGCTGGCCCCGTGTGCCTGGGGGAGTGGTCTACAGGCCCTGCTGTTCTCCACACTCACAGGTGCTGCTGGCCAGGGGTCAGTCTAAGCCCAAGGGCCCTGGGGGGCATGGGGGTGGCCCTGAGCTGTGATTGAGAACAGAGGGCCCCCTTCCACAGGAGACCTCATGTGCCTGGCGGAGGCACCGCGTGGGGAGCAGCTGGGGGTCACCCTCAGTTGCCCCCTGCCTTAGATCTGGGGGTCCCTACTCTGGAGTGCTCTTCCTTGTGAGAAGCCCAGTCAGCCCAGGAGACCCCTGCCCAGGCTTCTGGGCCCCATCGGCGGGGCGAGGCCCTGGGCCCGTGGGAGTTGCTGTTGGCTCGCAGGTGCTGCCTTGGCAACAGCTCTGGGAGCATGTGGTGACCACAGGGTCACTGACCCAGGGTCAGCACCTGTGAGGAGGCCAGGCTCTGTGTTAGTCGTGTGCACTGTGAGGTGGGTGCTGTGAGCACTGCCCACCACCACGTGGGCCACCGAGGGCCCCTCCCACCTGCCCCTATCCCGCTGAGCTCAGGAGTGTGGCCTGGGTGTTTGTGGTCCCCTGCACAGTGGGAACGGTGGGAGCAGGATCTGGACAGGGGCACGTCACTCCTCTCCGCTCCCACACAGAGTGTTCAGGCTCTGGCCCCTGTCCTTCCTCGGGAGCAAGCTCTCCACGTGTGAACAGCTCCGGCACCGGCTGGAGCACCTCACACTCATCTTCAGTACGCGGAAGGCGGAGAACTCTGCCCAGCTGATGAGGTGTGGGCCTGCCCTGGTCTCCTCTGCAGGGTTGGGTGTGTGCCCTCTGGTCTCTTCCCCATCCCCCTCCGCACCACGCTGACCCCTCCAGCCAGGCAGGCCTCCTCCTGCGGCCCCAGGCTGTGCTGGCCACCCTCATGCCGGCTGGGCCGGACCTCCCTTCCAGGAAGGCCAACACAGTGGCCTCCGTGCTGCTGGACGTGGCCCTGGGCCTCACGCTACTGTCCTGGCTCCACGGGAGAAGCCGCATTGGGCATCTGGCCGACGCCCTCGTTCCTGTGGCTGACGTGAGTGGACTGGGGTGGAGCCTGGTGTCCTGGGTGGGCATGGGGACCCTTCCTGGGGCAGCAGAGCCTTCCCGGACCAGAGCCACCCCCACCCCAAAGCCAGCTCTACCTTCTCCATGCTCTGGAGACATGGCCCTCCCCGGGACCAGGAGCAGGAACTCCAGGGGCGCTGGGACCTGGGCAGGGCAGGCCTTGCAGGCACCCCCCCCTTTCCTTCTGAAGGGGCCGTGTGCAGGAGCCACTGGGCTGAGGTTCTGGGGAGCCCGCCTCTCCCTGTGGGCCCAGCGTCGTGGTGTCTCCCTTGTGGCCCCTACCTGAGGTCAGCGCTGCTCTCCTGTTTCTCTGGGGCCCTCTGCAGAGCCAGGTCATGAAACCTTCCCTGTCCAGGGCTGTCCGTGTGCAGCCCGGCTGGGACTTCCTGCCCTGCCCCTGTGTTGATTCTGTAACTCCTGTGCTGAGAGCCAGGGGCACAGCTTGTCTCCCATCTCCCACCTTCCCTGCATGGTCTGTGCCCATTTCCAGCTGGGTGCAGCCCCCATCTCTGCAGACCTAATGTATTTCCATGCTGCCTCTGGGCCTTCAGCTTCTCTGTCTTCCTCCCTCAGCACCAAAGCCCCGTCTCTTCCATTAGGAGCTTGTCTTCCTGACAGGGGTGGTCCCTGGCTCTTTGGCCCACCCTTGGGCCTCTGTGGAGGCCTCCTTGAGGCCTGGCTGGGTGGGTCTTGTGTGGGCTGCAGGTGTGCACTGGGCCTGCTTGTGGCCAGGCCAGGCCTCTGGGGGCAGCAGTAGGCACGTCTGTCTGCCATGGGCTGCGGAGGTGCAGGGAGGCCCAACCCAGAAGGAAGGAGGGGCAGGGCTTGGGAAGGGGCTTGGCGACTTTGCCTGTGGTCGTCCGCACCCGCCTCTGGCCTTCCTTGTCCTAGACCTCTCTTTTGCAGAAGTGCTCAGAAATATAAATAATTAATTTAAAAATGAAAGTCTCTTCCTGCTGCCAAGCTCTTATCCTTTAAATATTAAATAAGTTTTATTTATAAAGAACGTTCTTTTCTCCTTTTTTTTTTTTTTTTTTTTGAGACGGAGTCTCGCTCTGTCACCCAGGCTGGAGTGCAGTGGTGCGATCTCGGCTCACTGCAAGCTCCGCCTCCCGGGTTCACGCCATTCTCCTGCCTCAGCCTCCCGAGTAGCTGGGACTACAGGCGCCAGCCACCTCGCCCAGCTAATTTTTTGTATTTTTAGTAGAGACGGGGTTTCACCGTGTTAGCCAGGATGGTCTCGATCTCCTGACCTCGTGATCCACCCGCCTCGGCCTCCCAAAGTGCTGGGATTACAGGCGTGAGCCACCGCGCCCAGCCCCCCTTTTCTCCTTCTTGCCAGTCCTGCTGCGGCTGAGGCCTTGGCCCAGGCTTGGAAGGGGCCTGTGCAGTGGCCAAGTGGAGGCCAAGGTGTCACTGTCTCCTTGGTGGGGAGGCTTAGGCTCCCTTGGGGTCTGCTCCCGGGGGCCAGCACAGCCTCTGGATGCTGGGTTTCTTCCTGGGCGGCCAAGACCCTCCTGCCCTGTTTGCTCTTGGGGGTGCCTGTGCTCTCAACTTGACGTCATCCTCCCTCTGGGGACCTGCCCTCCTGCCTTGTTGCTGTGACCCTAATGGACTTTGCACTGTGTCGCTTACCTGTGGCCATCCCGGGCAGCCCGAGCCTCCGTGATGGGGTCTCTGGAAGGGACTGTGTCTGCTGTGGGCGACCCCTGCAAGGCTGGAGCTGAGTCAGGGTCTGCCAGGCCTCGGCGTGTCCACGTGTTTGGGGCTGAGGGCTCTGGTGGGTCCCGTGGCCCAGGTAGTGAGAGGGGAGGAAGATGGTGGAGGTGGGTGCAGGCAGGGGGCCGCGTGCCCGGCCATGTCACCCAGGCCGGCGGAGAGCGCCTCCGGACCAGCCTCCTCAGACCCCAGTCCCGGAGCCATCTGTGAAGGGGAGCCCGTGTGCTGTCCACGCTAGGATGCAGCGGCCCCTGGCGGAGGGAAGGCTGACCAGGGTGGGGGCCCATCACGAAAGAGCCTGGGGAGATGCAGGTGCTGAGCCTGGCAGCCCCTGCCCCAGCGTGGCCCGTGTCCCTGCAGCACGTGGCCGAGGAGCTCCAGCACCTGCTGCAGTGGCTGATGGGCGCTCCCGCCGGGCTCAAGATGAACCGTGCACTGGACCAGGTGCTGGGCCGCTTCTTCCTCTACCACATCCACCTGTGGATCAGTGAGTGCAGGGAAGGCGGGGGCCCCAGGGACCCTGGAGCTTGCTGAAGAGGGTAGGGACCCAGCCACACCCCGCCCCCTGCACCCCCAACTCTGCGTCCTGTGTGTGTGAGGCTTGTGCTGGGCCGAGGGCTGGGGTCTGAGCACCTCCTGAGGGCCAACCCCACCCTGCCAGGCTACATCCACCTCATGTCCCCCTTCGTCGAGCACATCCTGTGGCACGTGGGCCTCTCGGCCTGCCTGGGCCTCACGGTGGCCCTGTCCCTGCTCTCGGATATCATCGCCCTCCTCACCTTCCACATCTACTGCTTCTACGTCTATGGCGCCAGGTGGGCAAGGGCTTCCCTTCCCCACCGCCCCCGGGAGGTGCAGAGGCTCCGGCTGTGCGTTGGAGAAGGGCGGGGCGGGCGAGTGGGGGGGCCGGGGCGGGGGCGGGGTGAGTGGGGCTGGGGGCGGGCCGGGCCTGACAGCACTGCGTCCTGTAGGCTGTACTGCCTGAAGATCCACGGTCTGTCCTCGCTCTGGCGTCTGTTCCGGGGGAAGAAGTGGAACGTTCTGCGCCAGCGCGTGGACTCCTGTTCCTATGACCTGGACCAGGTATGAGGCAGGGTTCCTGGCTGGAGGGTTGACTGCCCCCCGCCTGCGTCCACCGGGCCAGCGCGGCTACTTGGGCACCACAAGGGGGCAGCCTGCTCCGTCCTGCAGCTCAGGCCCGCACAGGCCCTGGGAATAGGTGCCGAGTCTGCGGTGTGGGCTGTACGTGGGGCTCTGAAGCGGTGCAGAGCTTCCCTGGGCCACAAAGAAAAGACAGACACACGGCCCTGAAGGTGATGCTGGCACAGGGCCTAGAGGTGCCCTGGGTCAGAGACTGGGGTGACCCAGGTACAGGCCCTAGTGGTGCCCAGACTTAAGAGGCTGGCTCTGGCTGTCCCATCTGCTGCTCACGCCTGACAGCCCCTGGATGCTGCCATCCAGAGTGTGTTCTTGGTGACTGTGGCCACACACCCTCTTGGTTGGTCTGGCCCCCACCTGTCTCCCCTGCGAGTCCCCCAGTCCATGGGGTGGGTGGACACAGCCCTCCTGCTATTGGGACTGCTTCTGAGCAGGCTGTCCCAAGTTCCCTCAGGAAGCCGCAGAGTCCCGACGGCAGCTCCGGGATGGGGGAGGGCGCAGCGCTGGGCCGTCCCTGGGCGCGGGGTCCTGCTGATGTCCGGCGTGCTGGCCCCTCCCCACAGCTGTTCATCGGGACTCTGCTCTTCACCATCCTGCTCTTCCTCCTGCCAACCACGGCCCTGTACTACCTGGTGTTCACCCTGGTGAGCTGAGCACCCCCAGGCCTGGGCACTGGCTGTGGCCACTGGGCCTGGCTGCAGTGCTCTGTGTGGTTCCTGCCAGCACTGCCTGGGAGCTGTCAGCTGTGGGGCGGGCTGTCTCCTGCTGCAGGCCACGTGGGTGGCCTTTCAGGACCCTCTGGGCAGTGTGTGCTGGGCCCTGGAGCAGGCAGGGACCTAGCCTGGTTGGGAAGACCCCTCACTGGCCTGGAACACACAGCTGGGGGCTTGGTGGGAGGACCCACGGCAGGTGGGCACACAGGACGCCTTCCCTGGTGCCTGCACTGGGGCAGACAGTGGGAGGTGAGCAGAACCACCTCCAGCACCTGGCTGATCCCCAAGCCTCGATCCCCTCTGCGTGTAAGGCTGTGGGGAGCCACCTCTGACCTGGTGGGAGGGCCGACTGCTCCACCTCCAGCTTTGCTCCAGGGCAAGGCCCAATGGCAGGCTCTGTGCCCTGCTCAGGGTGTGGTCCCTGCTCTCCCCAGGGCCCTGCAGCCTCTGGGCCCCCTTCATCATGGCCCAGGATGGGGTCGGGCTGCTCTGCCCCCAGGCACGCCTGGCCAGGCCGGTCCTAAGCGCTCCTCTGCCACAGCTCCGGCTCCTGGTGGTCGCTGTGCAGGGCCTGATCCATCTGCTCGTGGACCTCATCAACTCCCTGCCGCTGTACTCACTGGGTCTTCGGCTCTGCCGGCCCTACAGGCTGGCGGGTAAGTGCTGCGTACTGGACAGCTGTCCCTGGGCGGGTGGAGGGGAACCACACCTGTGGGCCCTGCAGAAGCAAGGACAGCACAGGCCGCTGTGCCTCCGGCCTGGAAGCCGTGGTAGACATGAGCAAGTGGGCAGGGAGGACAGGGCCTCCCAGTCCCAGAGGTCTGCAGGACCAGCTGCCTCCAGGAGCTGGAGAGACTCATCTGCCGGCGCAGGTTCAGACACCGGGCGATCCAGGCCACAGGCCTTTGTTCTTCTGCTTTGGGATTTTCTGGGCTTGGGAGCCTGAACTGCAGGCCAGGGGTGTGGTGGGTCCTGAGTCGGCCAATCCCAGCAAACTTAGAGGCACTAAGAGCCAGCAAGGCGGCCATCATCCAGCAAGTACCCTGTCCGCTCTGCCGGAAAACCCTGTCCACTCAACAGCACAGCCTGCGCCTGTCCCTCACTGGGGCTCTTCCCTGCTTGCCGGACACTTGGCTTCTTTCAGTGGAGCTCTGCAGGAGGCGTTTTTTTTTTTTTTTTTTTTGAGATGGAGTCTCGTTCTGTCGCCCAGGCTGGAGTGCAATAGTGTAATCTCGGCTCACTGCAACCTCCACCTCCTGGGTTCAAGCGATTCTCCTGCCTCAGCCTCCCAAGTAGCTGGGATTACAGGCGTGTGCCACCACACCCGGCTAATTTTTTCTTTTTTTTTTTTTTTTTTTTTTTGAGACGGAGTCTAGTTCTGTCGCCCAGGCTGGAGTGCAGTGGCACGATCTCGGCTCACTGCAAGCTCCACCTCCTGGGTTCACGCCATTCTCCTGGCTCAGCCTCCCGAGTAGCTGGGACTACAGGCGCCCATCACCGCGCCCGGCTAATTTTTTTTTTTTTTTTTAGTAGAGACGGGGTTTCACTGTGATCTCGATCTCCTGACCTCGTGATCCGCCCGCCTCGGCCTCCCAAAGTGCTGGGATTACAGGCGTGAGCCACCGTGCCCGGCTAATTTTTTCTATTTTAGTAGAGATGGGGGTTTCATCATTTTGGCCAGGCTGGTCTCAAACTCCTGACCTCGTGATCCTCCCATCTCAACCTCCCAAGTAGCTGGGATTACAGGCACAAGCTATCACACCTGACTAATTTTTGTATTTTTAGTATAGATGGGGTTTCACCATGTTGGCCAGCCTGGTCCCGAACTCCTGACCTCGTGATCCCCCTCCCCGGCCTCCTAAAATGCTGGGATTCCAGGCATGAGCCACTGCGCCTGGCTGCAGGAGGCTTTGATGCTGCCCTGGCAGCGAGATCCAGGAGTTGGGGTGGGGAAGGGGCAGGGAGAGCCTCGTGGGTGGCCACGGCCAGCAGCACCTGGGTGCCCCTCAGAGAGGAAGGTACCTCCAGCCTCTGCCCATGCGTGGAGCTGGCCCCCACACGTCCTCCCTCGTAAGCCCCTTGCTATTCTTGCAGCTGGTGTGAAGTTCCGTGTCCTGCAGCATGAGGCCGGCAGGCCCCTCCGCCTCCTGATGCAGGTGAGGCCCCCTGTGGCCAGGACGTCCTATGCTGCTGCCCCTGTTCTGGAACAGTGGGGTCAGCTGGGTGTAGTGTCTGAATGGCACCATGCCAGCCTGCGATGAGGCACAGGGAGGGTCCAGTGGAGCTGAGGGGCAAGGCCCACCCGGGAATACCCCCCCCTTACCCGCAGGGCCTGAGGACACTGGTGTCCTGTGGATGGGGCCCATTCTGCCCTGTGTCAGAGGCGCCCTTGGCTGGCTGGGGCTGCCCTGGGTCCCACAGGGCTCAAGTTCTGGGTGGAGTAGAACCGACTGAGTGAGTCCTGGAGTGGGGTGTGTGTCCCTGCAGCACGGCCCCTCAGAGTTGGGCAGCCCCGAGGGGAGATGCAGCTCCTGCCTCCCCACAGTGCTCCCTTCTGGCTGCAGGCTCACCTGCCTCCCTGGGAACTGGGACCGGCCTGTCCCACAGGCGAGGGAATGTCTGGGACGGTGCTGGCCCTGCCCCACCACTGCCTGCCCCCGCCCTCTCTCTGCAGATGGGGTTGGAGCTCAGACCACCCCGCTGACCGCCGCCCTTGTCCTTCCAGATAAACCCACTGCCCTACAGCCGCGTGATGCACACCTACCGTCTCCCCAGCTGTGGCTGCCACCCCAAGGACTCCTGGGGTGCCCTGTGCCGCAAGCTGTTCTTTGGGGAGCTCATCTACCCCTGGAGGCAGAGAGGGGACAAGCAGGACTGAGGGAGCCGGCCGCCGGCTTGCCCAGAACCACTGCACAGCCACGGCCAGCCCTCTGCCAGGGTGGTGCCAGCTCAGCTGGCGCGCGGCCCGTGCTTTGTGGACGCTGCTGTATGCTCCCGAACACAGCAGGCCCTGCTATCACACCTTGGGCTTGGAGGTCATTGGGGGTGAGCAGATGTGGGGGTGGCCAGCCCAGCTGGCTGCGCTCCATCACTGGCACTGCCTGCCTTGAGACCCGCTTCCCGCCTGCTGCAGTCACCACGGTGGCGAGCACAGCAGCCCCAGGTGTGCAGAGCACTGCCCCATGCCCACCCTGCGTACCCAGGTCCAGAGGGCCCGGGCCCTGACTCCCTGAACCACATGGGGTTTATTTGCTGATGTTCCCTGGAGAGGTCGCTTTGTGAAGGAGCTGTCAGCAGGCCGTGGGCATTGCCAGGCTGCTGTGGGGGTGGGAGCAGCCTTAGTGTCAAGGGCCTGCCCACTGACCCAGCCATACCTCTCCGTGAGTGGTGCCCCTGCAGCAACAGGCCCTTGGGCCAAATCTCCTGTCTCCCATCGTGGGCCTCCCAGGGAAGGCGGAAGCCCTGCTGTGCAGACACGTCTGTGGGCCACGGGTGTGAGCAGCCTGGGAGGGGCTGTGGCACTGAAGCCAAAAGTGCCTGCCAGACAGCACGGCCTGGGTGCGGGGTTCCCTTCAGGAGGGGAGGCTGCAGGTGCCGGCTGGTGAGGGGATGACGCGCTGTGGGCGGGAGGAGGCAGCGCCCGTCTCAGCAGCACCAGGACCACTCCGGACTCCCTGGCGACCCAGCACTGGGGAAGCCGTCAGCTGCTGTGCAATAAAACTTGCCCCGTGTTTGGAGCGCAGGCTCCGCCCCGGGTCCACGTGCACCACGAGTCCAGGGAAGCTCCAGGGTGGGGATGCGGACGCTACCCGAGGGATTTGGGCTGCCTCACGTGGGCCTGCCCTGCGGAGTCAACGCCAGTTTCCTGCTCGAGGCCCTGACGACGGCTGATGGGACGAGCTCGCAAGTCCTGGGCCCCAGAGGACCTTGGTGTAGGCGGGTGAACCCGGGCCCCCCCACCCTGGGGTCATGGCCTTGCCCTGACATAGATGGCGCAGGGGTGTAGGCCTCCAGGGGCGGGGCGGGGAGGGGCGAGCAGCTCCAGCTCTGGGTCTGTGGAGTCCATGCGGGGTGGGGCCCTCATGGGTCCTGGCCCAGTAGAGCCTGCAGCTGCCACATCTGCTAAGAACGGTCTCCGTTGCCTGCAGTGCAGGGGCCCACCTGGCAGGCCCCACAGCCCATTCCCGGCCCGAAGTGTACAGGCTTCCATCCAACCTGGACTTCCAGGCAACCAGAGGCTGGACTCAGAGGCACTCGGAGCCCACCAACCCTCTACCTGTGTCCCCCGCCTCCCCCCAGCTGCCCACCTGGCCCAACACCCCTCCCATCTGTATCCCCCCCCACTCCCCCTCCAGCTGCTTACCCTGTCCCTACCAGCTGCCCACCTGGCCTGTCACCCCTCCCACCTGTGTCCCCTATACCCCATAGCTGCCCACCTCACCCCCCACACTCCCTTTACCCCACTCCCCCTCCAGCTGCCTATTGAGTCCACCAACACCCCCAACCTGTCCAACACCCCCAACCTGTACCTCCCACTCCCCGCAAGCTGCCCACTGGACCACCACCCCTCCTAGGGCTCCCACCAGGTGAGGGTCTTGACGCTCAGCCACTGCTCTGTGACGGCCATGTCATGGGTCATGTCTGGCAGCGGTCGCCCCCTCTGCTGGGCACTGGGCTGACTGCCTACCCTGAGGGCCAGCCAGGTTTGCCACCAGAGCTGACCAAGGGAACACCATCACCCCAGCCACTCGAAGCCACCGAGAGGTGCCGCCTGCACCTCCAGGCTCCGTCTGTTCTCGCTGTACAGCCCCTGCCTGGAGACAGCCTACACCTGTGGGGCGCCCCTCATCCCTCCACCAGGGCTCTGGCCACCCCTGCCTCACTGACCCAGACAGGACAATGGGCTGGAGGTTTTCCAAGGCCTGCCCAGGACCATTTATGGACCCTCAGGACACCCTGAGAAGCAGACACCTTCCCTTTCAGAGCTGGGGCCGCCCATAGAGAAAGGTCTCACCAGTACTTCACAGATTCAGACTTACAGAAATGCTGTGAGAGTAACACAGGGTGCTTCCAGCACCCCTCACCTATATGCCCCCACGACCTTGTGCTGTGTGTACGTTTTCACATTTTGTCTTTTTTTTTTTGAGTCAGGGTCTCACTCTACTGTCCAGGCTGGAGTGCAGCCTCAACCTCCCTGGGCTCCAGTGATTCTCCCACCTCAGCCTCCCGAGTATCTGGGATTACAGGCACCCACCACCACGCCTGGCTCGTTTTTGTGTTTTTAGTAGAGACGGGGTTTCATCGTGTTACCCAGGTTGGTCTTGATCTCTTGGGCTCAAGCCACCTGCCCGCCTCGGCCTCCCAAAGTGCTGGGATTACAAGTGTGAGCCACCGGGCCCAGCCAGCACATTCTTTATATTTTTCTGCACCATTTGAGTCAGCTGCCGATTTTGGCTCTAGAATTTTCAGCATGCATTTCCTCAGAACAAGGCAGCCAGTGTGGTGCTCAAATCCGGAGCTTTTGCACAGATGCTGTCCAAGCCACCGACCCCATTCCCGTGTGTCCCATGTGTCATGGGCCAGTCTCCAAAGCCTCTGGTGCTTTAGGGATGGAGCCCGTTACTCAGGCGTGTCCCTGGTTGGGTCTGCTGATGACCCTCATGATGAGATGCCACTCATGCTTATGGCAGCAGTAGCAGGACACCACCCAGGGTGGCACACAGAGTCCACCTGTTCATCCCAGTGATGCCAATGTGTCTACTTGGTCGAGGTCCTGTCTGCGGGGTTTTGTGCTGCAAAGCCACGTTCCCTTGTCATTAGTAACTTGTCCGTGGAAACGGGACCACGTTCATGCTGTTCCTCACTGCCCTCATCCACTGCACACTGTGTCCACCAAGGTCATTGGCTCTGTCCACTTGGGATGTGAGTGAGGCCTCCCCATGGCGGCAGGCCAGGACCAGGAGTCCCTGAGTAGCTGAAACTTGTAGGTGCTCCCTGGGCACAGGGCTTCAGGGGCCAAGGTTTGTCTGCCCCACTGGGCAATTGTCCACCCCCTTAGCAGGACTTCGAGGACATCCCAGCGGCCACTGGGCACCCAGGGCGCAGGGCAGACACCCCAAACCGCTCCCTTTGTCCCCCAAGCCCCTCACTTGGACAGGGGCTCCACTTAGTGGCCTGGCATGTCTCTGCCAGTGGGTGTGGGGCGTGGCAGGAGGGGGCTGTCAGGGTCTCCACCAGACACTGCTCAGGCCTCCGAAGTGAGTGCCCAGGTGGTGGCTCACCCAGAACTTCTGGGTGGAGGCCTCTTCCCACACTCCACTGTCCCTGGCTGCCCTGCTCCTGGCCTGAGGTCCCTCAGCAGCAGGGATGGTGTCCTGCCCCGGGGGCCCAGGCCTGGCTTGGCCACGGTGGACCCCAGGATATCCTGCGTAAGTGCACGCAGCTGCATGGGAGGCGCAGCCCCTCGGTCCACAAGGCCTGGATGCCAGAGGATAGCACCCATCTGTCTGTCCCTCCCTTCACTGGGCCTGCTGCCCCAGACCCATCTAGGTTCCCTGTGACGCTTTTCTGCTCAGAGGCTGGGAGGTCACAGGGCACAGCAGCTTTCCGAGGATCTCACCCTATGGAAAGATTCCTGAACCCAAACCACAGGTCCCCACCAACAGGGCTGTGTCCACAGGCTGTGGTGGGCAGGTCCAGTGGGAAAAACCTGACTTCCTCATCAGCCAGGGGATGGCCCCTTCTTGTCCCAGGAGGTGGGAACCAGGCAGCAGAGGCCCACAGCTGGGTCTGGAGAGCATTTTACTTTTTTTTTTTTAAAAAGTTTATTTTTGTGAAGACCATAAGAACATTTTTAATTGTTTATTTTTGAGCCACTTTTTTTTTTCTTTTTTTTCCTGAGACAGAGTCTTGCTCTGTAGCCCAGGCTGGAATGCGGTGGCACAATCTCGGCTCACTGCAACCTCCATTTCCTGAGTTTAAGCAATTCTGCCTCAGCCTTCCAAGCAGCTGGGATTACAGGCACATACCAACATGCCCAGCTAATTTTTGTATTTTCAGTGGAGAGGGGATTATCACCATGTTGGCCAGGCTGGTCTAGAACTCCTGACCTCAGGTGATCCACCCACTTCAGCCTCCCAAAGTGCTGGGATTACAGGCATGAGCCACCGTGCCTGGCCTCAGAAAGGGTTTCTGATTTACGTTTTCAGGAAAGGGAGAGACAGCTGCTCACCACTATCCCCGCTTCCAGGCAGCCTCAGAAACCGAGGAGGAAACATCACACCTTTGGTGTTTCCCATCCCTGGAGTGAGGGGCCCAGGAACTTCACAGCCAGGGCTCGAGTCCGGGCACAGTGACCTCTGGGCAGAAGAGGCTCTCCCTGACCCGCCAGGTTGATTCCGGGTCAGTTAATGCCTGGGGAACTTGGTAAGACACCATCTCTACAAAAAACACAGAAGTTAGCGGGGCATGGGGGCGCCTATAGTCCCAGCTACTCGGGAGGCTGAGGCTGGAGGATCGCTTGTGCCAGGGAGGTAGAGGCTGCAGTGAGCCGAGATCGCGCCACTGCACTGCAGCCTGGACGACAGAGGGGGGCCCTGTTTCAAAAACGAAAAAACTGGCCGGGCGCGGTGGCTCACGCCTGTAATCCCAGCACTTTGGGAGGCCGAGGCGGGCGGATCATGAGGTCAGGAGATGGAGACCATCCTGGCTAACAAGGTGAAACCCCATCTCTACTAAAAAATACAAAAAACTAGCCGGGCGCGGTTGCGGGCGCCTGTAGTCTCAGCTACTCGGGAGGCTGAGGCAGGAGAATGGCGTGAACCCGGGAGGCGGAGCTTGCAGTGAGCGGAGATCGCGCCACCGCACTCCAGCCTGGGCGACAGAGCGAGACTCCATCTCAAAAAAAAAAAAAAAAAGAAAAAACTGGTGTGTCCATGTGGTCGCCGCTTAGTCAAGGCCGTGTCTTCAGCTCTAGGGGGGCGGGAGGTCACTGGAAGTGTGGGGCCGCCCGTCCTGGCGTCCCTCTGTGTGAACAGCACCTGCTCCCGGAGGCACAACCCGGGTCGGGGTCCCTCGGGAGGAGGGTTCTTGCCGGGCTCTGCTCCTCGCCGGCCGGGCAGAAGAGACAGGCTCCGCACCCGGTCTGGAGAGGGCTGCGCTGGGTCGACGCTGAAGTTACTGCTTTTACTTACTACTGTAACAGCGTTACTGAGCGCAGAGCACGTATCACAAAGCTCACCCGTTGCGAGAGTCACTGACGTTTAGTAACTTCACCGAGAACGGAAGGACCATCCCCACGACTGTAGGACCTTTTCGTCACCCCAGAAAGAACCACGTGCCCACTCAACCCCTGACCCCACGCCGGGGCCCGCGAACGCGGCAGCTTCGCTCGCCCACGCACCTGCGACTGCCGGGCCCTGCTGGGACCAGCGCTCGGCGGCGCCCCCGGGAAGAGTGCGGTCCGGGCCCTGGGTCCCCGTCCAGGAGGCGCCGCTGCAGCGGTGAGCACGTCAGGCCGGGTCTTGAGCTCGCGCAGGCCGCGCTCCCCGCGTCCCGAGCTGCGGCGGCCGCGTCCCCGGGCGGAAGGCTCAAGTTCGGTGACGCGGCGGGGTCCCAGAACCTCAGCGCCTTCGCAGACTCAGTGGTGACCCAAGGGTCCGCCCCGCCGCCGCCGGACGGAGGTCCCGCCCCCGCCCCGTAAAGGAAGTTCCGCCCCGCCGAGCGCCGATTGGCCGCACGGCCTTGGGGAGGACACG